TCTCCGCAAAAAGAATCCAGACCGAAACGTTGAATGCACTGCCGAAACTGAATGAGATCCTGTCGCGAAAATAAACCGCGCCCATTTTTCTGCGCACCTCTCAAAGGCGTGACTGGGGAACTTTCTGGAGAAGCATATTAATATTACTATTGAGCTCGTCGTGTTTTATGAATAATTCCGATTCCGTAAAAAATATTGTCTTCTTCAGCATGTCTCTCAACTATTCAAAATGGGATCACATTGATGTTTCTGATGATGAGGATGACACTCATCCTAACATCGACACTCCTTCTTTATTCAGGTTAGTTTACATTAAAATCTGTCAAGCCTTTTTTGGTACAGATGGCGACATCAAGCCCGTCTAGAACGCATGGCAGAGAATAAACAGAAGCAGGAAGAAATCGAGAGCAACAGGAAAAAGAATGAAACTAAAGTGAAGGTTGGCGTTTCAATGCTATAATAAGAAACAATCTGAACGTTTTCAGGAGCTATCTGCCAAATTGCAGAAAACTGATATTTCTTCAGAAGAGAAAAATAAAGTTGAGAAGGAGCTGTCCGACGTGAAAAAGCAGGAAGAGGAATGGCTTAAGAAAGAGAAGGATCTGGAGGTATGCAAGTTTATTCAGACTAGTACTCATCAAGTTTTCAGGAGAAGCTACGGAACGAGCCTTGGAACATCGACACTATTGGTCATGAAGCGTTCAGCTCTTCACGGATCAACAAGTATTCCGATAAGAAGGAGCCCGAACCGAAGCAGATGGATAGCGAAGAAGTCTATGAAAGCATGGTGAGTATTAATAGAAGCATCATGTGTTCAGAACATCATTTTCAGTCAAAATTTATTAATAAACACGAAAGCGAATTGAGCACTTATTGCCATTTGAAAGACTTGAGCGCTAGCCGCGACTACCTGATCGAACATCCTCACTTAGTCAACAATTACGCTGCCGATTTCATTACCCTCGAAGCTTTAAATTATGCCATCAAGGAAGAGGTTTTTTTTAGACAGATTTCAATTTGATATGTATATCAAAATATTTCACAGGAAGAGAATTTAGTCACCCTCTCCAAGCAAGGCATTATCATTCAATACATTATTGAAATTGCGAAACAGCTTAAAACTAAGCCTGATCATCCCAACGTGGTTCGCAATTTCTTCACTAAGTGATTTTATTCGAGTTCAATATAATGCTGAAAATCTTTTTCTAGATTCGAAAAAGCCGATGTTGCCTACATGAAGTTGTATAATGATGAAGTAGCTCAGTTCCAGGATCGTTTGAGAAAAAGAGCGAAAGTGAAAATAGAGGAAGCTCGACAGGAAGAGGAGGAAGAGGAAAAGGTTATACTAATTTCCTTTCATACATTTTTCATAGTCTGTATTTCAGGCAGAGCGTATACGTAACTCTCCAGGTGGTTTGGATCCTTTAGAAGTGTTAGCAGCTCTACCAGTAGAAATGAAAGAAGCCTTCCAAAGCCAAGATGTTGCTGCCCTTGAAGCTTTAGTGACTACTATGGATAGAGAGGTTTTCCAACTTGAACAATCTCGAAAATGTGCTTTTTTCTTTAGGTGTTTTCGTATCATTTCGACCGTTGTATCAAATCTGGATTATGGGTACCAAGCACAGAGGATAAAGAAAATTCGGAAAGCGAACAGAATCAAACCGAAAGCACTTGATTATCGATTCTCAACTATTAATATGTTCATCTCAGTATGACTCGTTTATTTCTCACATGTCGTTTTTCGTTCAGATTGTATTTTCTTGTGCTCGTGTATTTTACTGTTTTATAATTTATTTTTTCATCCTTGTCTTCCTTTCATTTGTGAAATGTGTTTTGATTTCCAAAAGAATAAATCCTAAGATGTAACTTCGCTTAACAGACAAAAATGTAGTTTCGGGAACAGCAAACTGATAAATCAGTCAAACAGCTCACCACGAAATTTAAACTCGGTTGTTGTACGGCGCAAATGTTTTGCAGGGTATTTATAAAGCAGCCGCGAACTAGGCGATCGTGGTGACGGCAAGAGGAGTACTCGCAGACACTCAACAGTTCTTGTAACTGATCAACTGTGAGCGAAAGTCCCTGGACCTGAGGCAGAAAGTGCCCTCCATAAATGGAGTACCTTATATGGGATTTAGTCTAAGCAAAGTGACGCTCAATCTACCAGCATAGGGCTTACTCTGCTCGTCTCTAACTTTTGTAAATCTCATTTATTAATTTAATTTGAAATCACACTTACAAACGCTGCGATTGAAAGAGGTTGTGGGCACAAATTTTGCCAACCGCCGCTCATGAAATCTTTTTTTCATAACTATTAGTCCCAGTTGTATGATTATGGAAAACATTGGATAAACTTTTGTTATAATCACACAACTCGATAAAAGTAATACATCCAAAGCCATCATTTTTTTCAAACATCATATTTGAACCATTTGTAAACCATATCAGCGTCTAAGAACCGTTGTTTAAGTAAATTCAAAGTCGCGCTCTAACTACGCGCACGAAATAATGGGCGTGGATTGTTTTCCCGACAGGATCTTATTGTGTTTTTGCTGTTCTCATGCAAAGTAGACAAAGATGGAGTTTTGTTGTCGAAAACTTCTTGTTGATAGGGTTAGCCCGCGGCAAAACTTTAGACTGCGAGCGCTGCCATACGTGTTTTTACGTTTTTCATTTGTTCTTTTCAGAACTGCGAAAGCGGTTGCGTTCCAATTTCAACATTTTTTTACAGAACTTCTTGGCAAAATGGGTTTTTTCTTCTCGAAGATAATGCGAAATCTTGTAATTCTTTACATCATCTTCTCCGGTGTTCAGTTTTTGCTCCGTTGGAAGTCTTATAACATTTCTCCAAAGGAATTCAAGCTGATAGCTGGGAAATCTATCGGTATTACCTTCTTTCTGCACGTTTTTAATCGATTGTAATAGATCCCAATCCTGCTACTGCCGTTAAGAAGTTCTCCAACGAGATTCGACAAAAGTATGATCGAGCAATCGTGCCTGATCAGCCTTGGAACGAAATTTTTTTGGGCGGTTTAAACCTTCAAGCTTTGTTTCTTCATGCTTCTCTAACTGAATACGCTGCTGTTTTCTATGCTCCATTCAGCACTTCTGGACGTGCAGGTAAACTCCACTTACATTTAACGCTATTATCTCGACGTTTCAGGCTTACATTGGAGTAATAGCACATGTAACGTTCTATCTGGCTCCGTTAAGCGTCAACTGGGGTCTGACCGTTTAGCTAGTAAAGAAGCTTTCAGTTCAGGTAGATCAAATCAGATAAGTTGTGTTAACCTGAGCTTTCTAGGTGGAAACTTCCGTCATGGGCAGTTTGATTCCTACATCTACGCTTTTTCTGACGATACTACTATTGCATGCTATGGTTTGTTTCTTCAAGATCATTATTACAATTTCAATCTTTTCCAAGGACGTGGAATCATGCCTTTCTCTGGACTTTGGACAGCAACTGGTGCTTTGGCCAATGGAGATCCTCTTTCGTTCGGTCACCTAATGTACCATTATGCTCATGCGATGCTCCATCAAGTCACTCACTCTGTCACGAGCACTATTAACCACTACAAGAAAAAAGCTGAATTATGATTCCATTTATGTACCGGTAACGTTTTATCTACTTCAAGGTTCAAGCATAATATTAGAGTTCATTCCGTATTGTTTTAATGTTTTATTTTTGCATGAATATTTACATATTATGGACACTGGATAACCTGAACACGGGGAGTGTTTCTCGAAAAATTTGAGGTTTTCGAACCCGATTTTAGTAACAATTGAAAAAAAATTATTACTTATACCTAAACTTTTTCATACAATTGGTTATGTGATCGATAATGAAGCACGTTCCCTGGTGTTTACCAATTCCTAAAGTAATGCAACTAATACTTCGCAGCGGGGTATCACAAGCTTCTATCCAAAAGTTGAAGACTCCTTTGTAAGAACATATCTATAGTGATAATAACATAGCGCGTTAAGAAATTCTGACTCACCGATAGATAGGTTTTATTAGACTTTATGTCCAATGTTCCTGATATAATTACACCAGTCGTTGGACACACAGTTGCTGATGTTGACATGAGTTTTCCTCTGAATTTCCTCATTGTGAATAGTCAATGAAAATCATTCACACCTGTGATTTTTTGGTCCCAACTCAATGCTTCTTAAAAACTTCCCTGTAGAACTATACAGAAGCAAGCCCATTGTGGTAGATACTAGAATGTCATCATCAAGTCCTGCTTTAACTCCTGATATTCTTTTATCTCTAGCAGGGAAACTAAACAGGGGGCGAAACGATGGATCGAAAACAAACACCTGTAAAATTCTGGGATGAGATATATAACAAGGTCTCCATACTTTATTTTCATCAGCAATGATGAACCTTCCTTTTTTATCTAAAGCTAGATCGATAGGCTCTTGGAATTCTGAGAATGTTACAGCCTATACAAATCAGTAAGGATGACGAGCATGACCGGTTTCCGTCTTACCTGAATTTCCTCGCCTTTGTTGGTTAGCTTTGTCAATGTTTTCGTTCGCCAATTAAGAATTACCAACTCTACACTGTTTAGTACTACCATTCCTACAGCTGAGTTTCCTTCTAAGCATTTGGCTCTTATTTCGTTAATGAGATCACCATTTTCCTTGAAAACTCGCACTGCGAACAGAGATTTTAAGATTTTGATCCAATTATCGGCTCACCTTGACAATGACCCGTGTCTAGAACATAGAACATATTTTCCACAATACATACTCTAGTTGGTTGAAGAAGCTCCGCATTAAGTTGCCATCTAGAAGTTTAAATATTCATTCAACCCCGTGTTTATTACGCTCACTTGGCTTTATGGCGGGAATATATCTGAATTGGCAGAGGACTATTTTTCAAGGGCCTCCCGAATATGTTAACTACTGCAGTGTATAATCCATGCTCGCAAACGCTAAAATAAAAAGTAATAATGTATCAAAACTCTACAGAACTCACGTGAAACTAATCTCGTATGTACCGTCATTTAGATCATTAATGGTTACGCTGACATCTTCTCCAGATTTTGATTTAATCGACACATCTAATGGATCTCCACCACTGGTACATGGTTTGCCATCAACATCGAATGTTCTATAACGAAAACAAAAAATAATTTTTATGTCCCGTTATTCTAATTTTCCTCTCTCAACTAGAATTCCCACGTCAATTTCGAATTAAATCATTTCACTTAGAGTGTTGTACACAGTCTGGTTGCACATTGGTTGTACGAAAGGAATACACAAAAGTTCTAGATACAAACAGTACCTGACAATAAGTTTAGATTCAACGTTCACAGAACAGTGTTCAGGTTCCTCAATTAGAGATTCGCCAGGAAATGTAGTTGAAGCAGTAATCGTACCAAAGCTTGTCAGGCGTTCGTGAATATCTGTAATATTTGACTACTATACAAAATTTATATAAAGTTACCGCATAAAAGCTGACTAGAATTAGTGTTGAAACGTAAAAATGCGTTCTCTCGCGGTTGGCATAGTTGTAAGTCAGAGTTACTGTTGAAAGAACGAAGCTGTCTCCCCATTGTACGAACATCAACCTGGCAACTATCCAACTCCTGAAATAAACAGCTGATTCAATAGAAAAATGGATTCATTCAATGAGAATAGGAAAATGATATTCATTCAGTAATCCAACCGTGTTGGGGGAATGCAAGTGTGACTATATTACCTTAGCTAGTTTCTTCTTTTCATCTGATATCATTTCAATTTGGTCTTTCAAAACCTTGCGTTTCTTGTCTCGCGTAACTCGAACTGTTTCAATCAACTCTCTTCGGCGTATTTCAACAATATTAGATACTTCCTGAAAAAAAAACATTTCAACTTGAAGAGTAAAATGAGTGTGACAAGTAGCTGAAAATAAAACTGTGCTCTCCGTTATCAAAAATTGAGTTTTCTATTCTTAAAAATAAGCTGTACAATCAAATGTGCAATAAACTGTATACTTATCAGTCATAACATTGAAATTTCAATTTTTTTTTAAACCGATAAAGACTATGTTCTACAAAATCAAAGAAAGGAAGGAACAAGGAGAATTCGAAACAAGCTTTTATGCTATGGCCGAATGTTTACGTACGAAAAGCGAACAAAAAGTCCTCAACACAATATCTGATTCAGACATTCTGTATCGAAAACGTAGTGGTGAGATGATGTACGTACGCATTTCAGTCGATGTGAAAGCAAAAAGACGAGTGCTGGTCATCCTTCTACTCAGGGTTCTTACAAATTTTTGTTTTCGTATTACAATGGAGCAAAACAATATCTCTTCTCCTTCCGAATCTTTAGATATATTTTCAATAATTTAAAAAATTTACCTGAAACGTAGCGTTGATTTGATCAACAATCTTGTCGACATTTTGGTCTAATAAACTAATCTCTTCATCGACAGCAACGCGAGCTAAATCTAACGCGCGAAGACGACCCTAATAAACAGAACTCTGAATTCCATTCAATAAACTCTTTCTCACCTTTGCACGGTACACTACAATTTCTGACATTCGCTTTAAAGCTATTGACAATGGTAACACAGCATGTTGAGTACATTTCTTACTAAAACCTCACGTTATCGAGATGTCTATAGAAGATGACTTACTTAATTACAGACGTGTTACAATGATGACAGAAAACTAAATCACAACACTCACAGTACAATAACTGTTCTTGCGGATGATTAGGGCAAGATGGAACAAACTCTTTTCTCTGTCTCTGAAATTATTCAGTTAAAAACACATATTTCAACAACCATCACTAACCTGCATAACATCTAACAACTGATTTATTAAAAAGGCAGGCGGTAGTGCATTTACACCTCCGTTAGGTAAAATACAGTTATCGCGGCACAATGGACACCGTAAACTAACGCCATCATTCTAGAGTGATAAAATTGAGAAGGTTGTCTAGTTCGTAATGTCAATATTATTTTATGAATGCAACCGTTCTATATGAATAATATCAAATGATTAACCATAACAAGTCAATCGATAAACAGTTGGCTTCAGAGAAAAAGCCAACTCTAAAAAACGTAGAGAATACTTACAGGTGGCAAACAAACAATTTGTTGAAGGCAAGACTGACACACTGAATGTGAACATGGCAATAGTTTTGCCTTTCTCGTTTCCTGAAATAAAAAAGAAGGTTCTGAAGTAAACTAAATTGCAATACCTGATCAAAAACGTGAAGGCAAGTTGAGCAAGTTAAAAAATTCTCTGAGAAATCATCAAAGTTGATATTCACCGTTTCAACCAACGTGGATGTCATAACGGCCACGTTGGGCCTTTTCACCTCTCCGTAATGCTAAACATAGGTTCAATGAAAAAATGAAGATTAACAAGAAAACGAAGAAGCGATAGAATCTACACAGCAATATATCATAATGTAGATAGTTCACTGAAAAGCATACCGGTTGAAATACGAATAGTCCAGTAGCTTTAACAATTGAGAAGAAAGGGATGTTAACATAACCAAAAGGTGGAAAGTAAAGAGACTTTTTAGCTAGTCGTTTAGTATAACAGTGGGTGCGGCAAAAATCTCAAAACTCAATGAGAGCCAAATAACAGAAAGCACAATTTCTAGAAGAAAACTAAACATCGGGTTAGCTTGTAAAAATGGGTCACTGTAGTTGTTTGAATAGCGAAGATCGTCGGAATTATCAGAATCTTGTGAGGTAAAATGTAAAGATATCATAGTAGTTAAAGTAAACTCAAGGAAATACGGATTCTATACGAAGCTTTTCTGCGGGTATATGAGAAAAAAACTTCAAATCACATGAGAATTCACGATAAGATTGAGAACTAGAGGAAACAGGTAGTGAAAGGAGAAATGAACGAACAAAAGTCAATTATTAAGATAAAATGAGTTGATTTTAAGATTCGTATGAAGGATGCAATAGATGATGATCAGCTGCTTGTGATTTGACAAATAGTCAACGGGTGGTGAGGTGAAGGCGTTGAGAAGAGACCACAAAACTGAGGAGAGTGATTTTCGCTTCAAAACGCTGAGGATGTATGAACAAAATGGAATTTGTATGAATAAGGTGGAAACCGAGGACAGTAAATGGGAGGCAACGAGGAACCGGATACTACATCCTAATCCTTGTTTAGACACATGTCCCAACTTGTACAAAGAAATATTGAAAGGCGTTCGCATTTAAACATTAAAAAAATGGAAACCACAGATATTCGCAAAAGCAAAGTAGAATAATAATATGTTAACTTCTTCAGTTATACGAACTATGAGAAATTCTGAGTAAGTGAAGGGAAAATGTAATACTTCAAGAGCCTGGAGAAGGCTTATCTAAACAGAAGGGCAAAAAAAAGTTCTTTAGTACTACAATAGGGCTTTTCGAAGCCATATTAACAACAACACTTCGTTCTTATTAAGTTATAAGTTCGAAACTATATCAAACGAGTGTAAAGGTCTGGCGACAAATATTAATGGAGAAGAATAATTTGAATTCGAACTGACAAACCATAATTGAAAGAATATAATTTAGAAATTAAGTTAGCAAATGGTGTGTCAAAATATCTCAAAGGGAGGAAAAGCTGTCATCGTCGATTGCCAAATATAAATTAAGCAACTCTCCTCTTTCTCCTCTAAAATCGATAGAGATAGCCATGAACATATGAAACATTAGTATATGAATAAATATATCAAATAATGAAACTGAAATTTCAAGCCTTTAAATATGTTACATGCTTCAGGTTACAACCTGTTCTTACTGATTTCGTCTGATAACAGTTATTGTTTGAATTTCGCGCTCAAGCGTGTATGAGAAGATTCTCGTAAAGTCACGTGAACCTCACATACAGCTTCATTCCATCTCAACGACAGGTCGTGAGCGGTTGGTCACTCTTCACGCTTGACTAACTTCTGAGGGAAAGAACCGTAAATATGATATCTTCAAAGAAGATGATGTTCGAAACTTGTTTTTCAATGGATTGATATGAAGACAACTATGAATTAGGATAAAAAATCATAAATATAATTGTTTTATCACGTTGGAAACAGAACATTATCATTATTATGTGTCTGAAACTCAAAATTGCAGAGTAGAAGTTCAGAAGAGAAGAAGGAATTAGATAATGAATTTGTTCATTGAGAAAGACAGAACAATTTTCTGACTAATACAACGATAGAAAGTGAATGAGCTATATCTACTAAGAGTTTAACGACGGCAATTTTATGTCCCAAGACTAATGAGACTCTAAACGAAAATTATGGCGCACAACAGGTAATTACATGTATATAAAGTATATCTAAAGACAATATATTCGGGTGTATATGAATATATATACACTATACTGGCTAGCAACAAAGCATTGATTTTCTTTGAGATTTCAGTATGGCCAAGGAATTAGAATTAGAGCACACTATTAGCTATACGACACAAATTTGCATGGAAGTTCATTAAAGATGTATGTTTTGAAGCAAAATAACGAAAATATGAGATAGGAGCGGAAAGGTGCATATATTGATCAGTTGGTGATGGGTCAAGCTAGTGTTATTCATAGAACACCTTTCTGGTCAGCATGAGAGGTATTATTGACATTCTTATGCGGACCGTTAGCAAATCATTTATTTTCTAGATGTTCACTCGTTTAAGAAAATCGATAAAACCTTGGTTACTCAAGTAATCGGGGCGGAGTTTGCAAAGCCGAATCCCAATTATGTAACTACAAAACAATGTAGAGAATTAGTGAAAATCTGTTCTCCCATCAGGTGTGCAAGAAATAAGTTCTTTCTTCTACCAAATGATCGCTAATCGCAGAGAGAGGGGGGGGGGTTATTGGTTGTGTGTATATGTCGTCTAAGGGTGGTAGCTGAGACAAGGCCTTCGATCGATCCCGCGCACTTCTTTGCTGGTCTTTTCTTTATTGTTCTGAGTTAAGTTGAACAACGGACCGTCTCCAATAGATTTCTAGTCCTTGGACCACCTGCTGCTCTTCTGTAGAAACTGTCACATATCAAACTCTTGAGACTCCAATTCTGCTTTACTTGTTCTGACCGGTTTTGTTCGAGAAATGGTTGTAGTAGTGCAACTTGGCGTTGGTCGAGATTTGAATTGCACTGGGTTGAAGGTTGTTTCTAACATCTTGTACATGTTAGGAAAAAAACTTAATCAAGTACTATGATCCTATACGTTTTGCTCTTGGTTTGACGTTATAGCTTTCTCTAGGTTTCTTGATCTTTTGCAGATTTCGTTGAAAACTGTTTCTGAAGCTGTAATATTTTCAGAAACCATGGGTGAATCTGATCCACCAATAGTTTCAACCGGATCAGCTACTACATCTTATGGAGGCATTGTGAATCAATTGTTTGAAGATCCTACACGAAACAGTGCATCTCCTATATCCACTAACGGAATTTCCTCTGTGAACTATGGGAGCGCACCCAGAAAGAACGACGACCATCCTCTCATTCTAGGTAATGTGCTAAGTACTATACTTATACTTGAAAACTTGAGATGTGAAAGTATGATATGATAGACAGAAAGGATGTTATCACTACGTGTATGCTCGTAATATAGTGGGTAACTAAACATTTCATTCGATTAGAAAGGTGTTGGTGCGCCTCTATTTCTAAAATAGAACAAAAAATACAAACAAAGATTGTCGCAGAGATCAGCAGAAACGTGGAGCACTTGAGAGCAGCAATGCTCACAAATGGTCGTTTGCGTACGAAGCTCCAAAACGGTGAGCATGTGACAATCGCCGAATATTTATAGTTACAATATATGAAGCATTTGAGAACTGTTTATATTCTGTCTAACAGTGAGTTGCAATCATTTGATTGATCGCCTTGCTGGAGTGAGTTGCTGCACAAAATAGTGAGAGTTCTTAGCTTTATCGGGTGATTCATTTCTTATATTATTTGTTCATATTGCTCTTTGCCATATTTATTCAGTTTACGTGACGGCACCCTCATTTATATGTTTCTTGCCAATCCTTCCTCTTTTTTCTATGAATTAGCTATTTTGCATTTAAGGTAAAGCGAAGTTAGTGAGTATCGAACGCTAGGGTTTAAAATATTTTTTTACGTGAGTCATGGATATTGTGGGGGATAACAGCTCTACAGATACAACCACCGGAGGTAGTAGTAGGTTTTTTGACATCAACTTCACAATAATATAATATATAATGCTTTATATTGTTTTATTCTTGCTGTTTAGATGACGAAGAATTGGGACGACGAGGGTCAACTCAGCCACCTCAATCACCTAGTGAGAATAAGCCAGTTTCTATTTTACTAGATCATTTTTTTGAAGGTATGGATTTTGCCAATGTTTCCCGACCTGGAGGATTATCAACTATCTCCGGTGTTTTTGCTCCTGTAGCTTTATCCATGTTTAGTATTTTACTGTTCATGAGAATGGGTTTGATTCTGTTTCATTTCCGTATTTAGTACTTTTCTTTGAAGGATTTGTTGTTGGCCAACTTGGTTTTCTACTTACCGTTGTGCAATTGTTGATGGCCTATTCCATCGTTATGCTCACCGTGCTTTCTCTTTGTGCGATTTCATCAAATGGTGCTATCGAAGGCGGAGGAGTATATTGTAACTATCAAGGATTGTTTCTTTACCCTAATGAGTTATTTATAGATATGATTAGTAGATCTCTCGGACCTGAGTTTGGAGGCGCTATCGGCGTGCTATTCTTCGTTGCCAATGTGTTCTCTTGCGCCTTGTATATCTCTGGATTCACAGAAGCACTTCTGAATAATTTGGGACATGGAGGTCTTAGCGAAAGGAAAGAAGTTTCTGAATACATTTTTTAGAATTTCCTGATAGCCCCACATGGAGGTTCATCTACTGCGTACTTGTCTCTGTGATTTTATTGGTTCTGTCTCTTTTGGGATCTGGTCTATTTACCAAAATTGCAATGGGAACTTTCGTTCTAATCTCGGTAATGGCCTACTAATTTTCTTCAAGTTATGCTTTTCAGGTTTGTTACTCCACTTGGATATTTTCGGTCATTTTCAGTGGTCCAATGGATATTCCTATCCCGAAAGTAAGCTAAGAAATTAATGAAAAAAAATCAAGACTGTATTCAGGTCAATACTCCCGTTTATCGAGTACATGAAAATATTTCTGATCCTGAGAGCCCTATGATTGTCAATCTGGATCAGAACATCACGGGAGCCTACACTGCTTTCAGGTTATTTCGTTAATTATATTATATCTTTATCATGTGTTTCAGTTTCAAAACCTTGGGAGAAAATATGTTCTCGAATTATACTATTGATTATTCTACAGAAAAGCAAACTGAATTCGCTCTTATGTTCGCAATTATTTTCTCTGGAGTAACAGGTTTGTCAAATTTACATATGTTTTTTATCAAAATTATTAGGTCTTATGGCCGGAGCGAACATGTCCGGAGAGTTGGCCAAGCCGTCTATTTCCATTCCTAGAGGAACGGTCCAAGCTGTTATCGTAACTCTTGTAGTGTATGTTATGACTGCTTTCCTCATGGCTGCAACAAGTAGTAGATATCTTCTCCAAAATGATTATACTGTTAGTGACCATCAACAATTTTTTTCTGATCATCTTCTTTAGGTAATGATGGACACAAATTTCCAAAGATGGTTCATTTTGATAGGAGTTTTCTCTACAACGCTGTTCTCTTCAATGAGTAATCTCATCGGTTTGTGATCTAATATGTATCATAATAAACATGGATGTTATTTAAGGTTCATCAAGAGTTTTGAATCGTTTATCTCATGATAAGCTTTTCGGATTCCTTTTGAGACCTGCCTCTATTGAAATAGGAGACAAGAATCCTGTTGTATCAGTGCTATTCACCTGGGTCTTCGTTGTTGTAAGTTGTTTTCCCGTAATATCTTTAACTACTCATCTTTGTAGTGTGTTTTTCTCATTGGAGCTATGAATAAGATAGCTAAACTCACATCCATTTTCTTTTTATTATCATACATGGGTGTGAACATCGCTTGTTTAGCTTTAGAGTTAACCAGTGCTCCTAACTTCCGGTTGGTACATTTTTTCTTTTGTACACTTATCATAGCTTCTTTTTAGCCCCACATTCAAATATTTTTCTTGGCAAACTTGTACACTGGGTGTTATCGCAACAGTAGTGATGATGTTGGTCGTGGATGCCTCGATGAGTGCTATTGGTGTTGTTCTTCTTCTCATTCTGATAATAGTGTTGCACTATCAGGTTTGTTAGGAACTGTATCCTTATTACTTTTTTGTGTGACTAGGCTCCATCCATGGCTTCTGGTTCTATTTCTCAAGCTCTGATCTACCATCAAGTTCGTAAGTACCTTCTGCTTCTCGACGTCAGAAAAGAGCATGTCAAGTATGTTTGATCGATTTGTTTCTTGGAAATGAAAAGGCTTATTTCAGATACTGGCGTCCGCAAATTTTGCTCTTAGTATCACGACCTGCTTCTTCTCATCATCTCATGGACTTCGTGAATGATCTCAAAAAGTCAGGGTTATATGTTATTGGTCATGTTAAAAAAGGCGAGTTTGATCCTCTTCAGCCTTTGGATCCATTGCAGCAGGTATCTCGAATCCAAGTGAGAAAAATTTAGTTTTCATTCTAGGTGTATCCGTACTGGCTTTCGTTAGTTGATTACTTGAAGTTGAAAGCGTTTGTTGAATTAACTTTGTCTGCTAATGTACGAGAAGGAATCCAGCAGCTCATTCGTTTGTCCGGACTGGGGGCTATGAAACCCAACACAGTAGTCCTTGGGTTCCATGAGCAAACACCTGCTTCAGATACCCTACAGGTAAAATAATAAATAAATTGCCCTGCATTTCTTCATTTTCCCACAGGAATCTCAGCTTCTGAAGGATTTAAGGAACGCTAAAATTGACAGATCTTCTGTCGTCGAGTATTTCACAGCTAGTGATTACGTTCCGAGGGTGAGTGAACTGTATGGTGTGTATTGCATATCTGTTTCAGGAATTAAATGGCAACCGTGAAAGGCTGACGGCTTCAGAGTATGTGAATGTGCTACTCGGTGTTTTGCACGTCAACAAGAATCTGTGTGTCGCTCGGCATTTCCAAAAATTGGACAAAGTTTCTTCATATTCTCTTCAACTCTGACTTAATTCTTGTAGGATAATTTGATTCGGGGATGGAACGGACAGAAACGATTCATCGATGTCTGGCCCGTTGATCTTCAAAAACCAGTTGAAACAGGTTTGGGCTGGGATAACAGGTAAAAGCATATTCATTTTTTTATTATATTTCTTTATTTAAATAGTTCATTGTTCCTTTTGCAATTGTCATGCATTTTGTCGATGTCATCCCGCTGGCGGTCTTATACTAGGCTTAGAGTATTCATTTGTGTAAATAGTTTGCAGGTAAAACGTTAGTCTCTCTTATACAACATCAATTCTTTGATAGGATATGCACCGACGAGAAAAGCAGCTGAAAAGCGTGTTGGACACCTTGAGAATAAAAGCGGAATCTATAGTTGTTCCTTGGGACCATGTGGTTTGCCATTTCGGCCAACAGATGAACTCAGCACGGTTGTTCTCTACCTCTAGTAATGAAATAATGTTTTTTTTAGGCCATCGGCTGATCTACCCATCCCATACGTCACCGCTTTCAATGATATGATCAAGAGATATAGTGAAGAAGCAGCAATAACCTTACTAAATCTTCCTCTTCCTCCCACTGACGCCGATAAAGATGGTGCTAAATATTTAGATATTGTACGGGCCCTCACAGAATCTCTACCCCCCACATTAATGGTGCATGGAGTTTCTTCTGTGATTTCTACTACATTATAATTTATTCGGAAGAGTTTTACTCCTTTTTTTCGCAATATTACTTAATTACAGCAATTATTAGATAACAAATAGAAAGTTCACTTATGACGTACTGCTGTAGCTTTTTTTTATCAGATTTTCATTAATTTATTTATTTCTAATATAATTTCATAACTTTAATATACTAACTAACACTAATTAAGTCTTTTCTGTCAGTATGCGAAATTGTTTTAATGCGGGGCATTATTCCATATTCCCTTTCATATTTATTCATTCAACTACCCCATACTATTTGAATGTGATAATTCTAGTGATATTTTTTAGTTTCATACAGAATATAAATAAACATTACGACGATCTTGTACAGACTATCTTGTGTAAAAGGAACAGTCGGGTTCATTTATTGATTGCAGGTTGTGGAGTATGAAGGTTCTCTTAATCATTTTAATATCATGTAGTTCAAGTACCTTTTACATATATAATGTTTTCGTACTTATTTTTAGTTCAGATCGTGCTCCCACGTTCATTATGGGATGTTTTATGTAAAGAGAAAAAGGAATGTGGCAATGTGAGCCGAGGGCGAAAGGGAATTAACAAGTATGTTGTTTTAAGAGTTTTTACCACTTATTAAATTCGTTACAGAAACTTCCTAACAGTATCTCCTCATTTTGGAGCTCCTAGTGAAACAGAAGTAACACGTTGGAAAAATTATGAGCTTATGGAGCCTGGCACTGGTCTACATCCTGATTCTGGACCTGGATTTGGACCAGGTTTGTGAATAAATCATCGATTATTCGACTTTTTCTAGGTCTCGGTGATATTGAGATAAACACAGGAATTGGAGTACAGCATCCCTACGGAGGTCTTTTGATTAGAAGTGATTTTGGAATCAATATGGGTTTTGCTTTGTTTATTGCATCTATTCATAATTTATCTCTAGGAGGGTCAGGAAGAAGTGGTGGAAGAGCTTTTGGATGGGGAAACGGTGCCCCGTTCGTTCAAGGTTCGGCTCCGTGGGCTTATCCACTATAAGATTTCTAGGGTAACGAATTCTTGTCAAGATGTTTAAGTTTGATCGGGTCAAGCCTATTAATAAAATTTTATTCTCTCAAGTTGAAATATATTTAACTATTCAATCAATAATTAATACTGAAAAACAGGAAAGGTTCAATGCCTATAATATTAACACAGATTACACTCGGTTCGGGGAAGATGGCGCAAGTACAAATATGAATTGGAAAGAATAAGTCTCCTACAGATAAAGCGTTCAATGCAATATGAGATTCGGATATTTTTTTTTGATGTTTTCAAAATAAGATATATCTATACAGTTCGGAAGGCAAGATTTTCATAACAGCTGAATAGGTTTTTAGAACTCTTACTTAACGTTTACGGCGGAACTCCCATTCGTCAGGTAAGTCACCTCGTTTCGCAACACTGTTTTGGTCTAAAAAGAAAGATTAGCAATGAAATAAAAATTCAGAATTAACCTGAGAGCTCAGATTGACAAGTTGGTCCCAAGTATCCGGGAGAACAACCACATTTCCCCGTTTTTCGATCACATGTTGCTCCGTTGTAGCACTGGCATTTATGAGCACAGTTTTCACCATAACGACCTGGTCGACATGCTACAAAAGTGATGAATAGATTCAAGACAACCACTGATAACACATACTCTGTTCACACCTAGGCCCATGTGTTCCTACAGGGCAGATGCATGTACCGTCAATAGGGTTACAAGCAAAATCGCCGCAATCACATTGAAGTTGACAGTGAGGTCCAAATGTATTATTTTTACATGATTCCTCACACTAAAGTTTTTTTTCAATAGCTATAGGAAGATTTAAAAATACGTGATCTCCTTGATATCCCGGTGGACACAGACAGCGCCCATCAGCGGAGTCGCACAGTGCTCCGTTCTGACAATCGCATGATTGACTACAATACCAGCCATAGAAGCCTTGTGGACAAACTGTAGATAAATCAATTGGATAACTTTCCAAAATTTCGAAAAATACCAAATTGACATCTAGTACCATATCTTCCAGGAGGACAGTCGCAACACCCTTGAACGGGATCACATCTTGAAATAGGAATATTTCTGAGATCCTACTGAAACGCTCACTTTGCATTTCCATGACATTCACAGTCTAGCGTGCAGTTCATGCCATATTTCCCTGGAGGGCAGCTCTGTTCACACGTTGCTCCAACATAACCAAGATTACATCTGAAAAAATTTAAAAGAATCTGTGCTCCACGATTCGAACCGGCAAGCTCCGGTCGATGGATCGCAGTATGCGCCATTAGCACAGCGACACTTTTCTTTGCAGCCTGGTCCCCATCGTCCATCAGGACACACTGCAATGAAAATAATGTTCCTATGCTCATCGTTTCTATTGGTACCTTGATTACATGTCAAACCCGTAAACCCAGCCGTGCATTTGCATTGTCCCGTCAAAGGATCGCAAGTGGCTCCATTTTCACACGAGCAGATTTTCTCGCATCTACGAGTTCAGAGGATAACACGGTTTTTCGGCTCACTTCAAACTACCTCTCTCCATAACGCTTAGAAGGGCAACTAGTTTCACACCTAGTGCCAATTAGTCCAGGAGGACATTCGCATTCTCCAGTTGTTTTGTGACATAGAGCTCCATTTTCACATTCACAAACATGCTCGCAGTTTGGACCATATCTTCCTTCAATACAGCCTGGAGAGGTTAACAGTAACAAGAATAATCAATGCATCAATTGTTTGAGGCTTTCGAAAAATAGCTGAGGCGTACCTGTCTTACAATCTGCTCCAGTGTATCCCGGTCTACAGTAGCATCTTCCAGATATAGGATCACATTCAGAGTTCTCACCACATTCACACTTTTGTTCGCATTGTTCACCATGCGTTCCTTCAGGACATAACTTAAATAACACAGAATTATAAGCTCAAAAAAGCTTCCGAATGCCTCTGTGCAAGACGGCCCAGTATATCCCTTAGGACACTGACATTTCCCTGTGATATGATCACATGGTTTATTATTCGAACACCGACATATTTGAGAGCAATGTTTGCCATAGTAGCCTTTTATGCAAGCTGAAGAAGGCAAATGAAAATTTATTTTATGTAGTTTACTTACGTCTATTGCATTTTCTACCTCTCCACCCAGATTGGCAAGTGCAATGTCCGCTCACAGCATCACATGTAGCTCCATTATCACAGTCGCAAACATCCTCACATCCCTTTCCATATGAGCCGCTGGGACAAGAAAGTTCACAGCGCTCGCCAGCCCATCCAGGTAAGCATTCACATTTTCCGTCAATGCGGTTGCATCCTGCTCCATTAAGACAATTGCAAGATTGTTTGCAGTCTATTCCAAATAACCCGAACGGGCACACTATACGAAATTGTCATATTACTAGAAACATGAAAAAATATTACAAAATTCGCAAGCTTTGCCAGTCCAGCCGGCGCCACAAGTACATGCTCCTGTTAATGGATCACAACCTCCATCATGCATGCAAAGGCAATGAGTTATACAACCCGGCCCCCAAAATCCAGAAGGACATTCTAAAGCAAACAGTTAAATTTTTTTATAAATAATCGAGTTACTTGTTTCACAGTCTTTACCCATGAATCCGGCAGGGCAATCGCAGAAGCCTGTGAGACGATCACATGAGCCTCCATTGGCACAGCTGCATGAGCTTCGACATCCGGACCCCCATCTGCAGGGATGAATTGAATTTGCAAGGAAAAGTATTCTTACCTTCCAGGAGGACAAGGAGTTTCGCAATCAGGGCCTGTCCAACCAGCAGGACATCTACATTCTCCAGATATATGATCGCATCTTGCAACGAAAGGATTATACACAGACGTATCATCTAGGAAAAGTGGTTGTGTTAAATTTCGACAATCTTCACATACTAGAAGTGCTGCAGTCACAAATTGCTCTGCATTGATCACCATATCGCCCGTCAGGACAGGGACGTTCACATCTTTTTCCTCTCCAGCCGGGTGCGCAACTACAGCTACCTGTCACAGGGTCACAGGATCCTCCGTTGCTACAACTGCACACTCCTCTACATGCAGCACCAAAATGGCCTTGCTCACACACTATTTTGAAATTTAATTAAATAAAAATTCGTAAAACACATACTTTTGTCGCATTTAGCTCCTCTCTTGCCAGGTGGGCAAATGCATTCTCCATCCAATGGGTCACAGTGCATTCCATCGTTGCAATCGCATTTCTGGCTGCATCCCTAGAACATTGATCCGAATATATAGTGAATTATAGAACTCCAACCTTCCCAAACATTCCACGCACACAACTCGTTTCGCATTTTTCTCCATGCCAACCTGCTCGACATTCACAGTGACCGTTAGTTGGACTACAGATTCCTCCATTTTGGCAATCACATAATTTCATGCAGTCTTTGCCCCATCTACCAGATGGACAGACTAAACCACCATTTTGAAAGTTTATACAAATGAAGTCTTGCCTTCGCTACAAAAAGCGCCATAAAAGCCTGGGGAACACAAGCAACTCCCGTCTTTAGGATTACAATCAGCCCCGTTCTTGCATGAACATTCGTGTGCACAGTTGGGACCATACAAGCCCACTGGGCATTCTGTAATTGTGTTTTCCTCATACGCCATTTCTATTACACAAGTGCAAAATGGAAAACAAATACCCACTCTCATCACACATTAAACCAGTGAGACCAGACAAACAGCTACATGTGCCAGTGACATGATGACAAACGAGGGGTTGCCCATCTTGGCCACTACAGTCACATTTTGAATTGCAATCATAACCATAAAACCCAGGTGAACAAACTGTAACCGTACTAGGTGAAATATACTAATGAAGTGTGAAAATGTGTGTGTGCCATCATACGATTCGGTATGGTTTTCTCTTGCACTTACCGCGATCACATTTATCTCCCATATACCCTGGTGGACACTTTTTTGTGCATTCTCCAGTTGACGAGTCACATCTTATGCCTTCTGGACAACGACACTTTTTGGCACAACTTGAGCCATAAAATCCGGGGGGACAAGGACGCTTGCAAGTAGGTCCATAAAACCCTGCACGGCACACACATTTTCCAGTCTAAGAAAGTTGAATGTTAAGATTTTCACTCATCACTAACCTTAGAATCACAACCATCTGAATTCTCCCGCACGCATTTGCACGAGTGTCGACAGTTTTTACCAAATGCAAAAGAAGGACACTTCTTATCACATTTTTCTCCATAATGACCTTCTGAACAAGTGCAATATCCATACATGGGATCGCATCTTCCATCTGGCTCGCAGTTCATGCGGCATTTCAATTGGCACATTGCTCCATAAAATCCAGGTGGACAGGGTCCCTGACCAGAAGCGCAATCTTCATTTGGTGACACACATCGGCACTGTCCACTAATAGGATCGCATGTACCGCGTTCACATCGACAAATCTTAGTTGAAATGTGAGAAATAGATAACCACAGTCATTTACTTGATTGCATCCTATACCCCACGTACCATCCGGACACACATCATCACAAATTGGCCCAGCATATCCTGAGGGACATTCACATGACGTAGACGACTCCGTACATGTTCCTGCAAATTATTTATGTAATTCAGGAAGAGTTCTGCATCTTTCACCCCCGTTCTTGCAATCTTCACATGTGAAATGACATTTTGGACCGAAGGTTCCTTTGGGGCAAGCTGGAAAACAATATTGTTGAGTGTTCGAAACAGTTTTCATATAGCTTTTGTTAGCCGCATCGCAAACAAGTTGGAAGCGTTTTTTAGTAATATGAGAATACAGTAAGTTTAGCTCTAAGCACAAAGCGAGAAACCTTTCCTACGTCTACTACTGAAGACTAGTTTATACGCTTCTCCACCAGATCTTCCACGACGTAAATCAAACTCCTGAGCATTTTGAACTCCAGAGTCGCTGGCGATCTTTTCAATATCTTCCAGTAGATGGTCAAGACTTCTATCAGATGCATCATCTAGATGATCCATTTGAATCCTGTTCAGTAGACTTTCATCTGAAAGCACACGCAAAAGCTGCAAAGCTCACAAGTAGTACATGTCAATGAAACTGCATATTTTCCCAATTTTTTTCATTTTAAGACAAAATCATATTGAATAGAAAATATACAAACTCATTTTTTTGACTCAGCGAATGAGCACATGCATAAAGCTCGAGGACATGCATGTCATAATTATTCTATTTACCTGTCAGAGCTTGGGTAGGACTTCCGCCACTGACCATCAATCCTACTATAGTAAACAGTGATAGGATAATAACAATAAATCGAACCTGATGAGCAAGACATTTCATCTTCGTCCAATTCAAAACCTGCAAAGCATTCACAGCGTCTTGCTCCGTCTTCATTTCGACAAAGTTGACTACATCCTCCATTATTGATTAAACATTCGTTGATATCTTGAAAATAATATTAAACACCACTTTCTATGCAAAAATATACCGTGGCAAGTATGTCTATCATTTGCCAAGCGGTATCCATCTCTACAAGAGCATTCATAATGTCCGTCGAGATTCAAGCAAGTTTGTTGGCAGCTTCCATTACTTTCCGAGCATTCGTTAATATCTTGACATTTTTCTTTAGAACACTCCTTTAATCTTGTTTTACCTTCACAGTTCTTGCCATCATATGATAACAAATATCCTGGCTTGCATTGACACTCGAAAGACCCGGGTTTATTGACGCACAGTTGGCTACAACCTCCATTAGTTTTTTCGCATTCGTTGGTATCTGAAACAACAAGTTCAACTTCCGTTTGAACAATATGAGACATGTCTAGTATCTAAGTCAACTAAGTTTCTATTATGTGCTTAATTCTATCAACAACTATTGAAAAGTATTGAAGGGTGTGGCCACGCTGTACACGCGGACAAACCATGACATGTGTGACGATCCACAGAGTTCAAGAAGTAGCCATCTCGACAAAAACATTGTAACTCATTAGTGCGATAATCCATACATAAGCGATGGCAATTGCCTTGATCGCGTAGACAAGAGCTCAACTCATAGCTGTCCGCAATGAATGGGGACTTCAATGCCGGATTCTTTGAAAACCCTTGATCATTCAAGGATTTCCTGGTTCGACTGTCATCAAAGTCCGTAATAAACCGGGACAGATCACTTACACCACCTATTTGAAATAATTTTATAGCAATTCTTGTTCAAAACATATCCTCAGCTTTTTAGGGAATTGTTAAAGAATTACCGTGACAACTGGAGCCATCGTCATCCAAATCATATCCTTCGCGACATTTGCAAATATGCCCACCATCAGGTTGATCGTAACAGTCATGCTGACAACCACCGTTTGCAACTTGGCAACCTCCTAATCTTTCCTCACAGCTTCTACCATCTTCGGAGAGAGTGAACCCGAATCGACATTGACATCTAAGCAGGCAAGTTACATAGAATAAAAAGGAAAAAAGGAACCTGTACGATCCATACATGTTGACACACTCATGCTGACAACCTCCTTTCTTTATTATGCACTCATCAACATCTAGAAGAGCCCAGCTTAGATTTGTATGAGTATAATTGCTTACCAACACAACTTTGTCTATCATATGCTAAACGATATCCAGGATAGCATTGGCATCTAGCACGACCATTATCGCTCACGCAATGATGATGACATCCAGCTTTATCTTTCTTACATGGATCAATAGCTGAAAAAAAATTGCATCAATTTATTAACCCCTTGCTTCTTTTCGCACAGTTTACTCACGGAGTGACCTATTGCCACCTGTGCAACACAACAGTTATTCCTTTCACGTTCACATCTCTCATACAAACAAGTTTATGAATAATTCTTTCATGTCATATGTGTCTTTTGAAGACAAACAGTCCCTTTGCTCTTAATGTTACGGATTTGGCTATGTATGAACTAACAGCTCTTACTAGACGGAGACATTAGCTCAATACAAAAGACACATTCGCCGTTCTCTTTCAGATTTGCATAAATAATTATCTACAGGACAATAATTAGCTAGCAATGAACAAGAAGAATACGAAGACACTATTAATGAAGCTTCTTCTTATTGTATAAAAATTAATCATGAATAACGATAAACGCATAGCTAGCTAGAAAGATGATATTAAGTTTTATTACCTTCTTTGCTTTTTCGAGTTTTTTTCGTTTTTCACGTTTTTCACTGTATTTCAAGCTTTCAACTTTTTTCTTCTTCACCTAACCGATTTGATACTTACGGGCACATGTTCGTTTATCATCGCTTAGTTCATAGGATTGCCGACATTTGCATCGGAAGAACCGTCCATCGCGTTCTTCACAAATATGATCGCACCCTCCGTTGTCCGAAGAACAACTGTTGGCTTCTGGAAACACAATAGTAAATGTGTGAAAAAAAGAAAAATAATTGCTGTTTATGTCCCCTAATTATGAGCATCTCCCTTATAATTTGAACCAAAACGAAATAAAAAAACAACTGTTCGTTAAGCTCAATTGTTTGTTAAGGTCAAGAGCTCTCAGAACATTAAGCCTGTCGAAAGCTTGCTATAGAATTCAACAGAATTAGCAATTGCATTCAATGCTTCCGTTTATGTATTCAATAAAACCACACTGTACTTACCAACGCATTTTCTGCCTTTACTATCGAGTTGTAATCCGGGTGGACAATCACACCTTCAAAACAGTCATTATATGGAATGATTTCTTTCAAATACCTATGGCCTCCTGGAGTGTTTATACAACGGTGAGAACATCCCCCGTTAACAACAGAGCATTCATCAATATCTGAAATAATGAATATCCATCATAAACATTGTTTTCAAGCTTACCTTTACACATTTTGCCATCTTCCGCAAGTTCAAAACCAGGCCAACATCGACAATAGAAAGTGCCAATAGTATTAACACAATCATGATGACATCCACCATTATCTACGAGACACTCATTAACATCTGAACGACTATTACAATGATATTCAGCTTCATCCAAACCATATTGGCATTTAATTCCCGTAAATCCTGTTGCACATTCACAGATTTGATCAGTACCATTACGTATAGGCAAGCATGTTCCTCCATTGTGGCATAAGTCTGATGAGCAATTAGCTGAAAATTTCAAATTCATATGAGTTGATTCAATAAAACGATCCCTTCGCATATACCATATCTCACATCATTCGTATTTACATTACTTATTACAAAACTATTTAAATTTAGTCTTTTCAAATACTATTTGAATATTGATTGTATTCAAATGAACAATACCATTGAACAAATATAAATATTACTTGTTACCTTATAAAGCTCAATCCACCGTATCAAACTCTCTAACTCCCACTCTGTTATTCATATTATATATTTAACAATACATACGACTTCAACTTGATCATAATCTGCTATGATTTTTCTTTTCTCCAGCATCATCTGTCAAAACCGTCTCATTGGACTTAGTAGCTCTCACTCAAGGGTATTGTATTTTGAACTGATTAGTTGTTGTTAAAATCGGAAGCTTTTAATGAAGTCAAGCCTAATCCGTCATATCTATCATATTGGTCTTCGTTGACAATCCTTATTTGGCGTCGGAACCTCATATTTTGAATCCATATAGTCTTCTCGTCTTTCCTATGATCTATCAACAAAATAAGAATATGACGGATTCACTTCCTTTTCAGTCCATCATCTATTCTTTCCATGTCTTTAGTCCATATGTTATGTCATGATCTTTTCAATACTCATATTGTTCTTGATGAACAGAGAAACTCTCTCCAAATGCAAATCCTTTTGGCGGTATTTTTTATTCCTACCATCTCGTAATACCAACATCCAAAATCTTTATATAATTTGAGATTTGCATGTGAGTACAGATAATGGTCATAAATGGCCATAATGGACTAATCGAGGTCTTCGAATCCTCTCTCTCAACCGACAACAGGAGGAGCAGTTGTGTGTTTGAGACGGCAAAACTACAAATTATTAAAGAGGTATTGCGTAAGGCAATATCTCATAGCATATCATTAGTTTGGTAAGAATTAGAATTAATTAGAAGGAAACGAAAAGAAACTCAACACTCTCACATAAAAAATCACAAGTTCTCTAACTTGCTTACAGTAGCAGTTTGAATTATCTCTCTATCATTTAACCAAATATGCTAATATCTGTCGGAACGCTTTGATGTGCAACATTAAGAAAGACATTAAACCCTTATTAGTAATAATCGGTTTAATGTATATAATGTGAAGATCTAATATAGTTAGGCTTACCACGTTGACATCCTATTCCAGAAACGAAGTTCCATCCAGGACAGCACTCAGGTGTTACATGACGACGAGTACGATTAACTTTCTTATATGTGTGGAAATATACAACTCTGTAAAAGACATCATCATACCCATATTCATAATTGATAAATTTATGTAGATTCTCATTATGGTTAACCGCATTAGGTAATTAGATGGCTAAATGAATAACCAACTGACTAATTAAAGGTCATCCCTTCACATATTTTCTTTATTTATATGTTACTTCTGCTACCTTATGGTCAACAGACCTCTATTAAAAATAATTAATATGAAATAGTAACTCACTTCGGCTCACGAACAGAACAAGCTCGGAATTTTCCATGACAGCCAGGTTTTCTACTTCTAATGTACTTTGTGTATGCCTGCACACATGGCTCCTTGACAGTTACAATCTCAACTTCCTCATGAGGGCAGACATTTTTCCTGGAATAATAATAATAACTCCCCAAACAGTATTCAAATATTACACAATCAACTTAATATTTAATTTTTATTTGATTAAACTTTAATCATGGCTACTTGTCAATACATTCTATGGTGTGGGAACCAAGTCATTCGAACACTTCAGAAGCTCATTTGATAAGACAAATTGATAGATAATGTATTTTCGAGAACAATTTGCTATAGTTGGGTATCGATATTATGTAATATTATCAAGTTAATAGTCAATCATACAAACTACAGGATTACAGAAACTATCGATTGATCATGCTCAAAACTGATCAAACTACGTTAATTGGAATAATCTGAAAATTGAAAACAACGCGCGGGCCTAATGCGACGTGAGAATTCATTTCTTTCGAATTTCACGCAACATCGGTTGCTTATATTTTTATTATTATTAGTATTCCATTATCATTGTTATAGTTATTTGAACTATTTCGTCCTTCCATTAAAGGATTAACCATACAGAGACAGATTAATTCGGTAACTTTGACTATTCCATCCCTCATCATATAATTGTGTTGATTAGATTTCGATTGAAGATGAAGTATTAACAAATGCAACTGGATTATCTCCATTCAAAACAATGTCGAAGAATCATCAATATTGAGCAAGGTGCGCTACTTCTTCTATTAGCGCGTTTGATCGCCTGCTTAGCTCATAACATTTGCTGATTGTTGGTAGGGGGGTTGGGATAGTGAACTTGAGCTTCTCTGAGTATGGCTGGGCTTCAGCAAACAATGTGGATAGGTGGCTTTATAAGCATCTGTTGATGAATCAGGATTCTTTTATTATATTTGTGTTACCATAAAACTGTAATAGTTATGGATATAATAGGAACACAATCAAATCACACATGTTGAAGCTGTTGTTTTTGAAAATCTATTGTAATTCTGAATCCCTTCAAGCAAAATGGGTTCTTTTGCATTTCTCTGAGAGAACTAAATGCTGGTCATTAATTAAGGTGAAGATGCAAAAGAATAACAGTAGATTGAGTGATGAGATAAGAAGATGATTATTATACGGTTAGTGCAGCTGACAGATTGCATTGTTTGTGGAAATTTTGATGTGTCAAAAGTAAAATTTATGTGTTAAGTGAGTGTTTGCTTAAGTGCTTTTGAACAATTTTATGACAAAATGACAAGATTGATTTGGATAAGATGAGTTGAGGATGAATGTCCATATGTAGTAGAAAATGATGAATGAAGAATATCTAACGTCACAGAATAAATGACTTAGACTGTTAGAATGCATATGATAGATGTTAGATGTATAGTCTTGAGATGGCAATTCTAATCTTTCTCATATATTCTCATCTATCTATCTCTTGCAGATATTTAATTATATTTGTATTTATATTTTTAAAAAGCTAATTTGTCTATAATCTTCGAATGTATTCCGAAGCATGTTGGGCATAATGATGGCCTTATGTGGTTTAATCCCCACAGTTGCTGACCGTCTTATCCCAACTGTTTTGGCAGATAATCCAATCATATGAATGCTATATAACATTCTATGTGTCAAGGTACTATGGGAAAATGAGAAAATACTCATAATTTTCTTTGCATTGCATCGACTGTCTCGTCTCTTAAACGATTCGTCAACTAAGTGGCAGTTATTAATTACTTGAATATTCTCAAACATTATTTTAATAATGAGTAATGTATGCAAATCATATTCGTACGAAAAATATATTTTTAATCTCGTTGTGATATTCGAGAGAGAGAGAAAGTTGCTACTGTTTGTAGTTTCATGGAAATGAACAAAAATCTCAAACTGTGTCTTTAACTCCGATGGTCGTGATTTGAATAGAAGTTCATCTTAAACGCACAGTTGTTCTCTATTCATATCAGTCTTTGAAAAAAAAGATTCTTTTCTATTTTATCTCATCTAGATTGCTATGTTGATTTTCACCTTTATTCATCTTTTGAGAGAAACTACGAAGTTCAATCGGTTGGAAACCCTCTTATGAATTGAGAAGGAAAAAAATGTTTTAAAACTAACGTTGCTTCGTATATCACAGAGGATTATATGAAAAGTTGCATGACTCTAATCTTTCAGACTTTAGTAGTGACAGTTGAGCTTAGTCTACGATTACTAGATGAGCCTCTTAACATACTATGGTTGAACGAAAGATATTTTTTGACCAATCAAATACTTTTAATTTGATTTGTTTTTCTTTCAATCTAACTAGTCTCATGGGACTGAGTTATGGATCTGGCCACCTATGGTTCTCGACATGCTGTTTCATCCATGTGGGAATGCCAATTGAGAAAGTTCAACCTTTTAAGTCCTTTTGGATTATACTCACACCTTAAATGCTTCATTTCATCATATACTTTTTGTTTCTCTCATATATATAAATGACGTCATCAGGAACTTTCTTTTGTGCTTGGCCTTTTTCTAGGTACAAAAAAAGTATTTGTTTCAATAATCAGGAGCTACTTAGTCACTATGAGTCAACTATAAGACAAAATGGCAGACGTCCAGAGCTGAATGAAACATCGCATTTGGCAATATCCATCGCTTGATGTTTCTTTCATATTGAAACAAAAAAGGCACAATTTCTGTCAGTTTGTCTTTACAAATGGTTGAGCGAAAATCAGCAGGGTGTCGCGGTTGAAGCATTGGCTGTATATGCAAATGACAACCATATTGGTTGGACAAGAAGAAAATGTAGCAATGGAGGGTAAATAGTTCAGATGAACGTGTATTATGAGAAATCCTATGTAACATATCTGCTTTGAAGCCGATTTACTGAATTTGTTATGAGCTGAAGGAAAAGCAATATGATGTAAGTGTGTATGAGAGAAATGGTTGGAGAGAAGCACAACTACCAAGAATGAATAAGAGATATTAGATTTACATGGGTATGGTTTCCAGATGACCATGTCCGCCTTCCGTTATTCTAATAGCTTCAATGTTTCTTGTGAATAGATCAAACCATGTCTGTCGCAGTGTCAAACAGCAAACAAGGCATATCGTATTGCTCCTCATGTTATAAGTCAGATCGATCGTGTTCATGTAGAGAATCGAACAACCGTTGTGAATGGGTTTTTTAAATTAGAATCCATCATTGCACTACCACCATTGGCATAAAAAGAGCTCTGACCCGTTTAATAGAAAATCTTATTAGTTTCGAGGATGTTTGACTCAAAGAATGTCGGCTGTATAAAAACTAAAATACTTTATTCAAAGTATTACATTCACTCGGGAATACTCTCACTACTACTCAGTAGACATAGATGACTTAAAGCATCGGAACGCAACAACTGATTTGTAGATGTATTGTCCTCTCAAGGGGATGATGAAGATCAAGAGAGTGAAACAAGACGAAGGAGTGCTTGGCTTTCAATAGGATGTAGGGAGTGGTCATGTACTGCCTATCGTTCTCTCTTATAAACATTATCGTGAACCACTAAACGTAAAACAATCTTTTTAAACGGAAGCTTCACATCAATAGAATTAAAAAACTTTTGATTTTTTTCAACATGGGCTCGTTTACTGGAGAAAGTTTTAAAGAAGAGTTTATGATGCCTTAAAGGCACAAACGCAAGTAAAAATCGTTGAGGCTACCTGCTGAGATGCTTCATCTGTAACTTCAAAAGAAGCATAAGCCTAACTAGTCCTTAAATAGGCAAATTGAACGGCCCTGGTGCATGATTTTCATGCAGATAGTTGTTGTTTCTATTGCATCAGTCAAATTATGTAATAGAAAGGTTTTTGTGTGCTATGGAAAAGGCTCAAAAAAGCATGCGTGGGGTTGACGGAAAGCTATGAACTATCGAAAATGACATGAATGAGCGCGTCCTTACAATTTCGAAACTTGTAATTAAGCGTGAGGTCAGTTTTTGTGTTTTTCGGAATGAACAATAATTGAAATAGAAAAAACCCAATAATGCATATGCCTATATTATGAGAGGAGATGCTCATTTAAAGAGAGAAAGGCAGAGAGGGAGAGAAGGTGAGCTATGAATAAGATGGAAAGTTTTGAATTATTGGAATATACATTATTTTTGTGATAATATGAATGAAACAAATAAAATGAAAACTTACTGTCCTAAACGAAGCTCCTGTAGTTGAACGTCAATTAGAGATTCTTGACTTGTTAAAGAGAAAAGTAATATAGTTACGAATAGGTAGAGCATTATAAGTAGTCTATGTGAACATTGGAGCTTAATTGAAACACTTCTGCAATTAAATTGTTTCAATAAAACGCATTCACAAGAAAAAAGAAAAGAGGGTTATAAGCATAGCTTAGAGAATTTCGTAGGACAAGAGCGCTTGGTGGGGCACAGGTAAAATGCGGAACAATTTAAATGGATTAGACCAAAGTATGAACTGCAACTAATTATTGAAAATCAATATTAATATGAAATACTAAAATAATATATTTCTGTGCTTTGACCATGGGTGCCAAGTCGCCACCTCATGGTCCTCCGCCTCTTATTTCTTACTCCTCCTTTCCCATATCTGTCGAGACTCCGCCCTGTGTGGAGACAGACGATAGGGCAGTGAATGAAGAATATGAGAGAGAGGAAGAGAAAGAGAAAAGCAATTGAGGATATGCATACGATGCACTGTTGCAATCATCGTAATTAGGATATCATCAAGCAGAGGACGCAAAAAAAATCTTTTCATTATGTTATCTAATAGCTCTCAATATTATGTAAAGAGCCGCAGAGAATTTTCGTATAAGTTAAGTTCTCTGTCTTGACCATGACTTAGGGACTAATCTTCTAATCAATATGATTCCGGTAGAACAAAGGTGTTCGACAAGATTTATGATGTAACGATTAAGAGAATTAGAATATGCTCGATTAAGTTCTCGATTTTATCTCTGTGTGTAGGAGTATTTTTTTTTAATATTTTCTGCAACATTTATTGAGAAAAATTATTTCCGCTCTCTCAAAATTACTCGTCGTCTTTGTCGTTCAAATGACGTTGTGCATGTGGCCGAGCATGGATTTCCCAAATCGTTGTTGAGGAAAAAAAAGCTTCCCCCCACTCGGACTTTTTTTTTGTTCTCAGAAGTGAAGTGGTTAGAAACTGTTACTCATTCAGCTGTGTTGATAGGGATGTTTCCTGTACACAACAGTTTTCATCACATTTGTACATTTGAGACTTGGTTTTTCATCAAATATCTGACATCTTCACCGTGTTCACTCAGTTTTACATAAAGAAAACTTTGTTTTCTTCCTTTTTCAACATTTGATTTCACAATCCGGACGGCTTTTTTAAGAAGTTGTATGAAAGGAAGTGAATTCATACCATCTTTGGTCAATTGAAGTCATCACTGAATGAAAGGAGGAAAGGGAGAGAGACGTGGGAAGATGAAGTAGAAGATTTTTCTTTGTGAATTAACTATATCTAACTATATAGTACAAGTGAAACAAACGTTGTTAAACAAAAAAAAATCAAAAACTGTATCATGTGGGATATGAATTGTATTGAGGTTGGATGTGATTGATAAGATAAAGGCGAAGAAGCTTTTATTTATTTCTTTAACATTTTATTTGTTTGTTACGGTTGGATTATGTTTAACTATCTTTGTTTCTTCTCAAGTAAGACGAAAGAATACAGAGTCATCTCCACTTACGATCTAATGTTGTCCGTATTTGGTCAAAAGCTGTCACTTGGCGAATGACACTATGTCAATTATCAAACAAATCAGGTCCTTCAGGCTATAATGTGATTCATAACTCTATATATCTTCAATTAAACTCTTACAATAATCTTAATACATAACAGAGTAAATGATTGAATAAAAAAAATTTAATCATCACTGAATATGTCTTGACCAGTCGATACCCATGTATGGTTAATGATTACACTCTCTTGATAATAGCCAGCGTAAGGATATGGGAATATTGCTTTTCGTCTGGATATCCCTGCATATGGATATTCAAATGTTAAAGCATATAATATCATTCTAGATAGAAATAGTAATTTGAACAGAAAAATAAGTATCATTAGGTAGATATTTCAATTAGAACATACTCTTGCCATCTATTAAATTATATACATTTATTTAAGGTTTTCAGAAAACTAGTCCTTATGTCGAAAACAATTGAATGACAGAAAACATTTATTACTTTCTAGTTTGTTACAACTATCACTGGAATTCAATGAAATGGCTTTCTCTTTTACTTTAACTTTTCATTCTGTCGCTCAGAACTGTTGCATTCATCTCTTCAACTGTTTAACATACAATCATCTTATAGTTATAGCTGCATACTTGATGTGGGTCAAGCTTACCTCATAGTCATAGAATATAGATAGTTGAAAATATTTATAAGCCTCATCATGTCTTCTATGCCCTTTCAGCACTTTTGACATATCTTGGAAAGTTGGAATTGATGAGTTCTAATCAACTTATGACTTGGCGTATGTCTGTATTTATTTCTCTATTCTCATAACCCGATAGGAAATACTGGAAAAACAAACTGATTTATTCTCACACAATTAAATTAGTAAACATCCCTCATCTGATCAGAACAAATGTAATATGACCGTATTTTAAATATTTCGAAACAGGCGTGAGTTTTTAAAATGTGCTCTTTGTTTCCCGGCTCTCTAATGAAACAGTACAATTACAACGCTTGTTTTGAATACCCTCCTATCATTCATGAAACTACATGCGTTTATTGATGTTTTCAGAAAACTAAAGTGAGATCCAAGATTTTTGAAAAACAACAGTCCAAGTGCTATGCTGGATAGTTTATACCGTCATATAAAATATTTTATTCTTTTGCAATGTAAACTGATCCCGAGAGCTCGTGTAAGCAATTCTTCATGTACATATGAATGATATTTAAGAAACATTAAATAGTTTTTTTTGATATCATTTGTAGTAAATTACTCTGGTTATGCGTCTGACTTCAGATCTGCTCATGTCCTCTTCTTCAAGTAGGGTTTCTGTTGCCAAGGTATTCACTCAAGAATAATTTATCACTCCCACAGCATTGTATGAAAATAATTTTTCCTCATCAAAGTGACAGACTGCAAAATACTCTTGCAGCGATTATGAAAATTTCGAAATATGACAGCCTGTGATAAAACGTAGCCTTTGACTGTATTTTATCGAGGAGTTTTAAAATCTTATATATTTCACATTTCTAGTAACTTCACAACCGTTTGATGTTCTAGGCAATGAAGTATCTCATAGTTTTTGTACTAATCTAAGAATAATCGTTCCTACTGCCCTTCAGTATGCCTAAAGCAATACAAAGTCTTAGTACGTGGAAAATTTAATGTTGATCAGTGTTGTATGTGCTTCCGTAGCGCAGTAGGCAGCGCGTCAGTCTCATAATCTGAAGGTCGTGAGTTCGAGCCTCACCGGGAGCAATTGTTTTTGCTTTACCCCTAGCAATGATACCAACCATATTTTATCTCACTCGTGGACAAAACTTTTTGGCATATTCTGTCTTTCAAAAAATCAAAAAGTATTTTTCCAATTTTTTTCAGGTTTTTTCTAATTTTCTAAACCTACAGTACTAAACTAAAGTTTTACGTTAGAAATAAAATTTTTTTCAGTAAAATGAAAAATTCTAGAAAATTCACAAAGAAAATTCACATTCATGTCCACGAGCCTATTTCTTACTCTATAGAGTTTGAGTTGCCAACCGTCTTAGGGCTGGTCTTCGAAAACAATTGGATGCTCTTGTCTACTATCATAGTTGGGGATCTATCCGAAGCGGATCTTTTTAGGTTTGAGATATCCGATAAACTATGAACGCGCGAAAGTGATGTGTTTACTCAAATTACGCAAAATATTTGACGGGTAAATGATGATCAACCGTAATCATTAGGCGATAAATAGTGTCTATCTGGAGCGGTAAACCTTTGACGTGAACTGGTTTATTAGTTAAAGGAAGACTTCCCACATACCTTATGGGAATGCAGCCGTTTATGTGAAAAATGATGTGCTTCTATCTGGAGTTGACCAACTTATTCATAAAAAAGTGTTTAATTGACAGATATCTTGGAACAACGGAATTCGCATGTACTTAACAGTGTTTAGTATCATGAGAGAACTGTACAGTTTCTAGAAAGAATAATTTACTGATTGAACCCCGTAAGTAGACGAAAACGAATTTTGCTTTCTACTTGCTAGTCCGAAATGAAATTGCAAGTTTAACCATTGATTGAAACAACTTGTTCTGACCTCTGCATTTCAGGAATCAATTCCTGAACTGTCATTTATATATGTATTTTTTTCTTTTTTTTGTTCTTTTCTGTATTCCCTATTCTTAACTGACATTTTTCAAGTTACAGTCACCTCATATATTAGTTGAGCTAGTTAACGAAACGTTATAGCCACTTAATGGGATATTAATGTGACACTGACAAAATGGGAAACTAGGCGGAGCCCCTGTTAGGAAATAATAGTTGTTGAAACGAGATAAGCTAATGCGCTAAATTGTGACAGAAAAACAGATTGTTGACAGCATGATTGTCACCTACAACTTTCTTCATCTATGGCCATTTGTTTCCTCTAACTGTCCCATCGTTTCAGTTTAAAGTTCACTATGCTTGGTTGGATGAGTAGTGATATATTCTTTTGTTTTTTTCTTTTTGTGGCTTCGATGACTACTAGATTTGTTTGGAGTCAGGTCCCGAAATCACTTTTAATAATTAGTTGATTTATGATGAAGAAGTTACTGCTAGATTAGCAAACAAACAAAACACTTCCGATATGCTTGCTGTGAATCGGAAACTAGCCTAATCCATTTCGTACTGTGCTTATCAAAGCTATAATACCGATAGGATGACTGACATGAACCAGTGTGGGGTATATAGGACCACCCGCAGTGTCGTAGAGCCTTTACAGAGCGATAGTTAGACACGAGTCCAATAAATTACTCTGCAAAGCAATAGACGTTGTTAGATGTCGTCTTCACGTTTTCGTCGCCATCTGATTCATCAATATGGGCCACACGACCAAGAAGACGTACGACACTTCTGGAGCTGATGGTGTAGATAAGGTTATCAAGGACACCCGGGATATCATTGAAAAAACATAGTGACTAATAGTATTGAATGATGAGAATAATTCCCGGTTAAGAAGTTCACCTGTACATCACAGCTCGTGCGAAGTACTGAAAATCAATTATTAATAAGCATACGTGTAAGCGTGTTTCATGCACAACAAACGAATGATGATTTGAAGAAGTTTGTTGGAGAAGCACAAAAAACGGTTGTTTATTAGTATGTAATACGAGATTGTCATGTATCTTTCGTAAGAAGACAGTGAAGAAACGAAAAAGCGTGTTCAAACAGGTTCCAACAGATTTCATGAAATGACCGTATGCAGTTACACATCTTTGAAACGCATATTGTTCGAAGGATACTGTAGACGAGATTATAGAGACAACAGAATATTAAAGAATATATTTATTAAAAATTATTAATAAGATTAAATATAATATCAAGTATTCAACAGGAAGAAGATGAAGAAGGGGAACTTCAAAAAGGAAACACAGAATGAGACGCATGAGGATATACAAAGGCACAAATACCAGTATAAGGTGAAAACAACTTCTTATAAACAACAATAATGCAAAAAAAGCAACATAATAATTTAATACACGTGATATGTCTGGCTTGATTATGGGCTAAGAAGATCAAACAATAATCTGTTACTCTTTCAAGAAATATTCAAAAAAATTAAAAATATAACCGTAATCTCAAATGGACATTTCAAATGTCTCTTTAAATCTAATTTGAATTCACGAAAGGAGGAAACATTAAAGGACTCATACCACTAGCAGCTGTTAACAACATGGGCAAATTAGTCATTTGACTGTAGAGGGATGAAGTTGGGGTAACTGAGCCAACGGCATTCAACATGGGATAAACAGGCAAATGCTTACGACAACGAGCGCGTCTATTTGAGAACCATGTCTGAAAAAGAGGTTTCATTATTTAACCATAGAAATATCTAATTTCCTACCATAATCTTTTCCTCTGTTAGACCTGTTTGCTTAGCAATTTGCTCACGTTCCGTACCGTCTGGATAAGTATTAGCTTTGAAGGCCGATTCCAGTCGGTCCAATTGTTCAGGGGTAAAACTTGTACGATTTCTGCGAGCTTCCGGCGAAATAGAATCTTCATCAGATGACGACGATTTACTGTCATCTATAATTAACAAACTGTTCATTATGGCATAATACTTATGAATGTTATAAAATATATTTTTCTATAATTAATCCAATTAAGTTGTCGGTAAGATATAGGAAAGGAAGCCGACACATGAAGAGCTCTTGATGGATCAAGTAATCTGTCTGCTCAATAACCTCAAGAACATATGTAGTGACTCAACTGTCGAGCTACACAATACTGTTCTATAATCCCATTAAAACACTTGCGGTAGATTAAAAAGACAAAAGAGTTTTGACCTCCTGTAGTTGTGCATGAATCGTTCAAGACGGAAGCCCATTCCTTTATACTAAGAAAGGTGAAAATCTTCACTTCACAACACATACACACACATATGAAAATCCAGGAAGACCACCCCTATAGACAGTTTCAGTGGGTCTTCAATTTTTTCTCAATTCTATTAAGAATGACAACGACGACATCATGTAGAACCCGATGAAGGAAAACGATAACGATGTCGTCGAGGTGACAAAATTTACGATGCGCCAGTCGATTAATTCTCATTTCTACTATTAGCACCTAATATAGAGATATCTAGATCTAGTTAATGAAATAATTATATTCACTCTCTCTCTGGCATTAGCCTTCTCTTTTTTGTCATTTCACTTAATCATCGAGAAATGTAATGAGTTAGTCATTATAAACGATAAGACGAGTACTTATTTATGACTTTTACCTCTTCTAAACTTATTAAATAACGACCGATATAGATCTTATCCCTTAAGTATGAATGAACTCAACAAAAAAAAAGTTATCTTCCTCATTTTTTTGTTCCCCAGGTAGTGATCATAGCGCGCGCTCGCATTCTCTCTCATTTTCCATATTTTGCCCCTTAAGGATACGGTAACTGTGTCGACTGTTTGTGACTGCAGTTACCGCCCGTTGTGAAGCTAATTAGTCAAGCTGGTTGAGAAATTCAGAAAAAAGCCAAGTAATCAAGAAGTTTAGACCGAGAAAATATGCGCGAGAACCCCTGGGAATGTCATTGAGCGGAAACAAAATTATGAAAGCGGATTTTGGCAAAACTAAGGATTGTTTACTTTTTTTCGAAATAAGTCGTAAATGAAGCGTACCTATGGAGATTCCAAGGATACTATCGATACTGTGGCTGAGACGCTTCTTCTCAGGACGTTTCTCCCTATTCCATCCTCGAGAACGAACAAATCGATTGATTGAGGCAACTGTAGGAGCCGTGGCTCTGGAGCAAATGCCTGAAAAAAACTGTTTTAGTTAAACATATTAGTAAATGTGGATAATCTTAAGAGTAGTAATAGAAGATAGGATAAAGTTATGTAAGATCTTAGGGATTACGGTAATAAATTGGCAAATGCTGATATGCTCGTTATAAATTGGTTTTATAACGACTTTTATAGAATTATTATGTAAGGCAATGTAACATATCTCAAACTAATGCGTAAAATCGTTTACGAACAAGGCTAGAAAGATTCAATGTTATAACGAAACCATCAATTAGCATATTTTGTGAAAAAAAGTTGATTGGGTCCTTGACACTTGGCTTTCCGGGAAATGTCAAAGATATGTTCCAAAATTTAAAGCAAATACAAAAGGTTTGAGAGTTTTTGTTGAACAAGAAGAATGGATGTTGAAAGAAGAAAGGTACCTTGTTCAATCATTGCTTGTCTCAACTCCGCTGCACAGAATCCAGGATTTTCATCGTATATCATCAGAAGTTGCTTCTCAACCGATTGTACCGAAACGCGTTGTCTGGGATTGCCTCCGATCTGAAAATGCGGAAGGAATGTTTATGAGTCACGTATTTGAAAATATTATTTAAATGCGAGCGCGAATGAGAAGCGGTTGTTCATCTACTAATGGTTTGAACAGCTTCAAAAATTACGTAAATGATTATATAAGGTTAGAGATTACGGTAAAAGCAGCTGGTACATTTCATTCACGGCGGGATATCTTTGTTTCTCCAAACGACAATCAAACGTTGATCGTCAACATGATCATCAGAATTCAAAACTCTTATATATATATCGATGATATGCTGATGCTTTTAATTTTCGCGCTTTTTTTGTGCGACTTTTCAAACTGTTCAAATGAAAGTACCTGTCCAGGTGAAATACTCCCAGTCTCCTGATAACGGTTCAAGATCTTCGAGACAGCTCCATGAGAAACACGAAGTTGGCGAGAAATCTGGCAGGGCCTGAAACAGAATTAGATTAGCACAAACTAATCATAAAGTCTTCTTACTTGATTCCGCTGTTAGCCATTTCAATGATTTTCAAACGAATAGCCTGGGGAAGTGGACGACCGTTTATAAAAACACCACCCAATTGGTTAACTCTTCCCTACAGTAATGGCAAAATTAGAAAAAAATCATTTTATCGAAACTACCTGGCCAAGAATATGGTTAAACGTCATAGTATTTTCTTGTCCACTCATTATTATAATCGAATTGAATGTATAACAAGTGGTAGTCTAGAGTAATATCGTCTTCCAATCACAAGTCTTCGCTCCGCCTCCGGCAACTACTTGTCTTGTGTTAAGAAGTGGTTTCAAAGATAATTTTATAATTATATTGAAATAGAAATCGGATGAAACAACTGACGAATCGTCTGAAATCGAGAAAAATAGAGTTTTGTTACGGTATTTACGAAATAATGTTTATGAAAAACTGATTTCCCGCAATAAGAGTTGTAAAACAAAATCGAATGAAATGATAACGGGAAAATGAAAAGATTGTGATAGATTAACAGTCATGTTCACAAATACAACTTCTAACACCTTACACCAAATATGGGTGTGAAGATTTGCCGAAAGAGGTGTGAAGAAAGTTAAAGAGGGCGGGACGCATTGACGGTTGACAGCAAAGACGGTTTGCTTCTGATCAAAGTTAGAAAGAGCAGGTGATGATAACGAGGAAGTTCACAAAAATGAAATCGAGAGAGATAGAAAGGCAAATGATGATTAGGATTCGTTTATATCAGTACGAGAATGGCGTTAATACGCTGATATGGAGGAGAAGGGGCGGGATAAAGATGTTAAAAGATTGTCTGTAGATGGAGATAATGATGATGATGGCGACAACAATACTGAGGATTAAAGGAAAAAGAAGGTGGAGAGCAAGGTGACGAGAGGAGGCGCTAAGATAGTGGCAGCTATGAACGGTTTCTTTTCATGTTAACGAAAGATCACGATGAGACATACGATAATAGAGAGATGCAGACATATTAAGAGTAAGATATAACCGGTAATTAGTAGGTGGATGAAGATGTCTTGACAACTAATCGAGAGATCTTTTACAGTAAATGAGGTGTGAGAAGTCGGCAAACTGTGATGGTAAATGGCACTGTAAGCCCCGAAGGATTAGTTTTGACATGAGTTTTGACATTTCCGCTACACCGAACATCGAATTGAGTTGATCAGATGTAGAAACATGATTAAATAACTTTTTTTCACATTTTATGTACCCGCGCATGGTAAGGAATTGATGAAGAATGTGCTTTGGAAGAAAAAAATTGAAAAGTTGTTGATTTTTCCATTGGCGAACAATAGGATATTGTAATAATAGAATAAATGAGATTTACATACAAAAGATGGTTTTAAAAAGTCTGAAAACCTTAAACGACCTTTACATAACGTTGATGATGAAATAATTCAAAGGATGAAGGTTAAGAAACTTTTTTGCTCTTATTACCGTATAGGCATATGATATGATTGATGAGACTGTTATTACATTGGTGATATCTGATTAGCCGATAGGCTCAACCTCTATGATGCTGACCGCTTCCTCCTTCTGGCAATTTCTTCACCCTTGTTACCTCTGTCGGCCGTCTTTACAATCACTTTTGTAGCTTTAAACGCCACTTAGTAACTGTCAACTTAAGAGACACAGTAAGCCGACACTGTTTCGTAATTGATATATTTACTTACAGTTAATTAAAAATGCTCATACCTCTACAACACTCAGTGTTCGCCGGTTTTACTCTGTTCCAGCTTACAAAAAATTGCGAAAGCTTAGCTTTCTTGGTATATTGTACTTATTCGAATAAAATTAAAATTTGGATTGGTGTCCAATGGCTAACAGTGAATGCATCTTACCGGATACAACTACTATGACTACATGGTACGATGACCCCATAGCTTTCCATTGATAGCAAGGCCTTAAACAGTAGTTAGATGATGTATAATTGAAGAATTAAATAAACATTTATTATTAGTTATTATGATATTATAATTATAGATTATCCAATCATGGTAGGGTTCAACTTGTTTTGAGTTAACCGTTCCATGATCTTATCCTTGTTAACCAAGAACAAATTGACATTAGGTACAACATGGCCATATTGCATATGACGATCCGCCATGAAGTTCAAGTACTTGAATGTGTATGGAGCTCTTTCGTTAGGATCAGAAAGTGTGAGAGGGAATTCCATAGCACTATTGACAATACCGTTTCCATTACCTTCAATTTAATTTCTTCAACCCTAATTGATTATTCTATTTTACCTTTCATCATCCATCTGCCATCAAAGTCGAAAAGTTCGTTAACGCCAGGCACAGGCAAATCCAAATGCCCTTAAAGAGTGCTCTCAAATGAGCTTTATGCTAATTTTATACCTGAAACTTCCTTAATTTTACTGTAATCGTACTCAGATCCAACTACAAAAGACGTCAAGAAAGGCTGGTACATACCATCGTTACGATCAAGAGCTGCGTCAGCAAACTGATCAAAGTTTTTCCGAACTTGTAGGTTGTAGTTATTCACACCCTTAATTAGTCAGTTCATCTTTTATATGGGACGAAGCTTCCAAACTTACATTGACTGCAAATCCAGCTCCCCATGAATCGACTAAATCTTCGTTAAAGGTCGCAGCCACAGCATGAGTGAATGGATTGAAGGCAGATATGAAAAAATACAAAAATGTATAAGAATTCTGTGCAAAACTCCGCATGTTTCACATATCAGTATTTGATGCTTACCTTCCGGAGAAATCAGCTTTTTGTCCCGGCAAGTGAATATCCGGTACAGATGCAGGCTTTTCACCAGCCTTTAACAAGTATGATTTGAAAAAGTAAAAATTCATGTGAATTCTACTTTATCTCCAGCAATATACAAGTTAGGGAAATATGGACCAGAACGTTCATCTGTCATTCCAGTAGGAATTTGGAGTAAACCTAGTCCACGTGGACGATCACGAAGGAACGGAGCTTGATAAGAATATGGATAGCAAAATGATACTTCAACTCACCTCTAGCCCATACTAACAAAGGGAACCAAGAAAATATGAAAAATTTGAGAATCATGAACAATAGTTGCTAGTGTAATTCCTGGAAATGGAATCTGATAAAATAAAATTCGTTAGAAATGAGACTAATCATGAGCGGATAGACTTTGAAAGTTCAAAATCGAATTCTAAGCTCATCGTAAGTCCGGATAAACAGTCCGTATGTTTCGAGAAGCTGATGAAGTTTATCGTTCAGCCCGTTTTCGAAAGAATCTGGAACATCAGAAACATAAGAAATCGATGGAAGTTACGGGTGAATGAAAGGGAAAAAGCGGGGGGGGGGGTTAATCACATGGATAACCTGAACTTTCATATTCTCTTATCAAATCTCATTCTCGACAATGAGAATCTGTGCTTAACAGATAACTTTAATCTATCAAAATCTTTTTAATCGTTTCACTTCTCAACAATTTCATTTTCATTTCCCCTATATATTCATTGACGTTATTAAAGACATTAGGTGCTTAAGTCGAATGACGTCATCAGTTGTTGTTCTTACTTTCATCATTGGATTTGCCTCATGCTTAACTCGTGAAGAACTTGTTGATCATCTCAAACATAAACAAGAAGTTCGAACAACATTTGACTCTCGAGTTCCTCAGCTTGTGCGTCCACTTGGATATATAGCCGGAGAGTAGGATATCGTTTTCTTGCATGTTTAGAGACGTTCGTTTGCAGACCTATTTGGCCGAGAGTTTTAGAACGAGCAGAATCGATAAATGACATTTTCTTCGATGATGATAACTTTGCTTACTCTGTTAGTTCTATATAAGCTCATTTTCGTTTCAACAAAGAAATTTCTTATTGCAGATGCCACGACGTGATGCCGCTGCTTTAGTGCGTCGAATGGACAAAGAAGAGAATTATAACAAAATCATCAAATTTTTGGAGAAGTATACTTGAGCACTGCCAAAATCATAAACAACACTAATAATAATAATAAAAATATTTATTTTTTCTGTTTTTTTTACGAAAAAATTTGTTGAGAACCCCAGAGGTATAGTTCTGACCCGTATATGGAAGTTATAAGAGGACAAATGAATCAAACGATATGTTCGATTACAGCATTCAAAGGAGATAATTCCTTAAAAGGGTAGCATACAAGTAATGGTCAAAAATGACCCAATGTTATTCATTATCTGGATAGTTTGGATTAAACAGAACCGGCTTCATAAATTCAAACATGAGGACGATTAAACAGACAGCGAAAGCATAGAAAATCACAAATAAGCACAGTTCTTTACCCTTAATAGGATTGAGCATTAGTATTCAAACGATACAAGAATATGTTTTACCTTAAGTGTATGAACGAGTTCCGGTTTATTAAATGGATCTTCATCGGTTCCCATAACAATCTCTGCAAAGAAACAAAAATGAAAAAATTTAACTGAACAGCTCGAATGACTGACTCGAACCCTGTTTTTCTGGCATTTCCCTCAATTTATTAATATTAACAATAATCTAGAAGTAAATATGGCAATAAGCGAATATGCGAGTCACACAAAGTCATTTCGGAGCATAAAAAAAAAGTTTTTTTGATCGATTTCAGTGGTGGGGAGGGGGGGGGGAAGTGATGTCCTTCCGTACATTTTGGAATCAAAAATTCGTCTCATACTCTTCATAAACTATGTGACAACTTGAATCTTTGTGCTAAATTGATTGATTTCAAACAGGCAGGGAGAGAGAGAGAAAGCAAGGGAGAGAGAGGGAGAAAGAGAGGGAGAGAGAGAGAGTATATGTGTGTGTAAAATATGAAGCTTTTTTACTTAAGAAAAGCAATAATTCTGAATGTTTAAGTTCAAATAATTAGTGGGAAAGAAGGATGACGGAAGAATTTCGTGAAAAATGATACTTCTGTCCACAATTTGTCTTGGAGATATTCTCCAGAAGACACAAATCCTCTCTCCTTCTCGCTCACTCAGTATTTTCGTCTTAACAAGAATATTTGACGAATATGTTGTTTTTTTATTATAACAATATGAAATATTACGTTTATACTAAAATATTTTAACTAATTTAAGAAGTTTATTAGCTCTGAAAGCTATTTCAAGAAGAAAGTCCAGAAAGTAACACATGTTTCCACGCAACGCCATCTGCTTTCTTGAGGCGTTGCAGGAGGATAATTTAGAGATTTGCAGGTGTCTTAAGACAATTTGTCATCTTAAAAAAAGCTTTAAAAGCTTGAAAATTCTACTCATTTGGTCATTTCCCGATGATCATTAAGCTCCAATCTTTAAGGATAAGGCTCAATGCTCATTCTGAATTATCAAAGATCTCAATCAAATAAAACGTCAAGTAGGTGAATATTGACATTCCTCAAATACGTTTTGCAATTAAATTAACCTTTCCATGAAAAAAAATTTTTTTTCTTCATTTTACTTAAATTAAGAAAAGCAGCAGATGTCATCATATACTTACTTTTGAACGGAGCAGCGATCAGATTTGGATTGTTGAGAGGGAAATCCTCGTTGACTGATCGTTTACCAAACACGTGCATGATTCTCAAACTGTTAACTATTCAACTATACATTAGAATATACAAACGAAGAGTAAAAAGAAAATATTTTGTGAGAGACGAACACATTGTGCATGATATATGTATTTGAGAAAAAATAAATTTTTCCTCACCACCAACATCTTCTTCATTTGATTTCGTTTACTCGAAGTCTCAAGAGAAGACAGATTTTGATGCAATTTTCTAACAAAATGATGAAATGGAACATGAAAATAGTGTTAATATCAGCACATTCACTCTGATAGTTGATTGAAAATGATTGTTTTGTGAAAACAAATGAGAAGAAGACGTTTTGCGTGAAACATCTGCCTGACAGACGACATTCACTCAGACAGAGGAGATAGGGTGTCGTATGATATCGTACTCATCATCACATCATCTTTATCTAAGAGTCATCAAACAATCATTTTCTTCTATCAGAGAAAGAAAATTATTGTTTGAAAGTAGATTGAATAAAAGAAGTAAAAAAAACGAAATATTTTGCCAGAGAAAATTCTTTAAGTAGTAAGTATACTTAGTCAGCACATGTCTCCAACGGAAATGCCAACTAAATGAGGCAGAAAGTTAAAAAAAGAAACTATTTTTTGGGAAAGGGAGGATAGAAGCTTTCAATCATTCGAAACTATCTGCTGCCATAAATGATGAACATTCGAAATGCTTAAGCTTATGGTAATTATGGACTTTAAATGCGAATAAATGAATGCAACCGCATCGTTCACGTTAATTTCATATTAAATGATGTCAATGCCGGATATTGCACGTGCTGACGTTTTCACGTGGAGCAAGAAATATGCATAGAAGAAGAGTAATAAGCAGAGAGTTCAATTGTGAGACTTCAACAGCGAATCATCTTTTTGCATGAACGTAAAAACACCCCAAATACGTATGTTTTGGTAATAAAAATTGATGAAAACTCTTGTTGGCGACAACCTTCAACGAAATTTGTTAAGATTTTGAGAGCGAATACGTAATTATGTTTACATCTTAGACGTTCAGTAGTTCATTCAAATGAATTTAAATGAAAAAAAAACTTTTCTTTTTCTTCTTTTTTTTTTGGCCTTTCCATGTTACTCACTAGCGAAATAGATATGTTTGCCAGCAAAAACTTGAGTTTAAGCTCTGCCAGACAGGGTTATAACACGATTTCATTTGGGAAAGAAGAAAGGGGAGACTAGAGAGTAGGAAGAGATGAAGAAAAACAAAATAAATGAGATTAACCTTTTTCTTTTGTTGAATAAAGTTTGAAAAAACAAAGAAAGCTCACCATTTGTGTATTGTTTTGTTAATTTGCGGGCTTGAATCTTATCGTTTTCGCAATTTCCTCCATTAACTACGAGCTCCACACATTCACTCATGTCTAAAGCAACAGAAATTTAAATTTTGGATTAAAAAAAAAACTTTTTTTCTTGAATGAATGAACAAGTACATATGACGAAGTTGAATAAAAGATTCAAGAGAGAGAGAGAGAGAGAGAGAGAGAGAGAGAGAGAGAGAGAGGGAGAGAGAGAGGGAGAAAGTGAACACTTATACAAAGAATGCTCAAAAGTAAGATATAAAGAGGGAATCTGGCAGATGAACCACTTCCAGATTCCCGAAGTCTCTGAATAATCGAAGGACATCGCAAAAAACACTGAAGATTGACTTCGATTCGTGAATGTTCTCATTAACCATTTAATTTTCAATAAATTTTTAATATTTTTTCGAAAATTCGTCTCATTTACATATGCAGTTTTCTGAGTGGGTGCTCTGCCGTGTTGCGATTTCTGATTTTTTCAGCTTCTTTCGTGCTTTTATCGTAAAAATCTTGAAGATGTCTGGATTGATACGATTTAAATAAGTATTGATTGGAAAATAACATTTCTCTCCAAAAATAGACAAGAAAATGGGAGAGATAATGTAAAATGTATAGAATGACAGACAAGTCAAAGCCAATATTTAATGACTGCAGACTAGCATACATTAGTTGAGAGAGGGAAAAGAAGACGACAGATTGATTCCGGACTTTCTTAGGAGTCTGGAAAAAGCTTAGAAATTAGTCGCCTGGCTGCATCTCGGACAATGCTTTGCTTAGATTTAAATGCTTAAATGCACAAAAAGCAGTGCTGTAGCGAACTTTTAAACGAAATAGAAAAAAAAGAAAATGAAAATTCCTTTCAAGTTATTTCAATAAAATGCTCGAAAGAAAAGCCTCTGAAGGGAAGTGAGCTCATGAAACAACTTGACACGCCATGTTTTCAGCTCAGAATTCGCTTCTAACCGGAATCATTTATCATTTGTTTCGGGAAATAGTTTCTATAGAAATAAAAAGAGGGTGCAAGAGAGAGAGAAAAAAAAAGATTTGAAAAGAGAGAGAAAGTAAGAGAGAGAGAGAAAAAAACAGAGAGAGAAAGAGAGAACGAATGAAGGAGGTTTTATCTTAACTTTCAGTACCGAAAATATGCTTCGAAATAGTTAACGATCTTTGCAATATGCTTAAAATGATTTGCTCGTTACAGCCGAATATAATTATATGCAAATTTGGCGCTTGAACTTCTACATTCCCATATTTGGTCTAAAATGTAGAATGGAAAAGATGGACTCAACAAGTTACGTAAAAGATACGAATGAAGAGAGTTGGAGGGAGAAGTTTTTTTTCTTCGGAGTGAAAGAAAGTGCTGAGAACAAATTGTAGCTTGTGAGTTGGGAGCTCATCTCTTTTTCTCTCTCTATTCATTTCTCTTTCCCTCTCTCTTCATTTCTCTTCCTCTTTCACCATCTTCTTCTCTCTATCTCTCTTTCTTCTTACCTCCTTTCATCCTTCATCCACTTTATAGTTTTCATTTTCTCTTCATTTACATTCGTTCACACCCAGCCTTACAAGTAATCAAAAGAAGCTCTTCTAGCTAGAGTCCCTAAGGGCATACATTCTGATGTTGACAGGAAGAAAAAGGTCAATGGATTTTACATTTTTTTTCATGTGCACATGACAATTTTGGCAAAAAATTAAGAAAAATAAGAATGTTTTCAAACAAAACATCAAAGCTGTTACGTTTTAATGAGAGAGTCGAACAGATTGAATTTTCAGGACCGGAAGAACAACATGAAACTCCATTTGAACCTTAGGTGCCAATTCCAACCATTCAATTAACACGGAAATTTGGTGAAGAAACCAGAAAATGAACTTTTCATTTGAAGAAGAATCAATTGTGTGGATGTTTTTCCTCAGCATTAAAGATGTTTCAAAATGGAAGAAAAACAAAAAAATGACATTAATTGGCTTGTAACTGAGCATGTCTCCTCCTACCACCCCTCTCTCTTTCTCTCTCTCTCTTTCTCTCTCTCTTCTTTGTAGATCCTCATGTATTTCCTTTTTTTCTTTCTTCTTCATTTTTTTCTTCTTAGTCAACTGACACAAACAATCTGAACAAAAGCAGGATGAGCATCTAAGGCTTTCGTCATCATGATAAACGACAAGTTATATTGCCTCACGCAGTTATGTTGTTTCCAAGTTTGTAAATTTTTAATTTTTTTCCCATTTTATATTATGCAATCAGGCTGCATGTGTATGGCAATGATAGATAAGAGTTGAATTGATAATTTGCATATTTTTGACGTGAAAAGTACACGTGAATTATCCACGTAATATGTCGTCAGTGGCAGCACGTAGATGTCATTGATGATGTGATAGACATGCAGATCGGTTGTTCATATATTGATTAGCATAAATCCATGGTTTGTTTTTGTTATTATTTCAGTTCAAATATGCTTAAGAAAAAAAGGAAAGGAGAACACATTTAGGGAGAGAGAGATGTAGAGAGAGAGAGAGAGAGAGAGAGATGTAGAAGCAAAAGTTATTTTCAATAAACAAGACAATAATGCCAATGGTTATAACTAAGAACGTACATAGTTATACATGTGAACGTTTTATTTGAGAAAGAAAAAAAAAAGATTTTTTTTTCAATTTACAATATGCAAAAATAGAAGAAATAATTAGAAAATTAAAATTATTTTGTTGAAAAAAGAAAAACTGAATGGCGTAAAGAGAAAAGCAGCGAATGGATCGTTTTTAGGCTTTTTCTTGTTGTTTTTGCAATTGAGCTTTTCGTTGCTCACTGTATCCGTTTCGCATATGATGAATAATTGCATTAATTACTCTATAAATACAAATGTTCAGTTAGTTATGTGTTAATCAATTAACAAATATATGTATATGTGTATAATAAGGAAGAAAAGTAAAAAACCTTTGCCATGATAGAAGTAATTCAGCTTTGCGTGCTTCATCTCGTATATAAGCAGAGAGCGTTGTATCAATCGTTTCAGCCATACACACCTTTAATTATCTGATATAATTAATATATAGATATATAATGAACCAAAAATATATCCCAAAATGTAGAATGAAAGCCACGCGAAATGAAGTCCACGTGACGAGAGCCAAGTCGTTCACAAGCCGTTGTAACTAAGTCATCATCAAGCTGATAAGTAATAATCTACAATTAATTTTGAGTTTTAATAGATTCATAGAATCTGAGAATACTCACGAGTTTATAGAAGAAAGCTTGAATAGTTTTGGACAAATTAATGAACGTCGGATTATCGACGGGATTTTCGTCATCACTTATTCCGAAAGCTTTCTTGAATATTCATTCAGTTTTTTGTTTGTTTTCTTATTTTTTATTATGTCGAACCTTAATGGAATTACTACGAGTAGCTGACTGAATCCAAACATTTCGAAATAATTCAGGATGTTGCTCCAACAATCTAACAAATGAAAACGGCTTATAATCATAAAACAGATAGATGTTGAGATAGCAAACCTTGGCCATTCTTGTATGACCATCTTCTTGTTTTTCGCTCCAATCGGTCCAGCATCAGTAGCACCGAGAATAAAATCTTTTTTATTGCCACGAATGGTTGAAAGCAACCCCATCATCTGAATACACTGTTAATAATAAGAGAATGTTAAATCTAATGGATAGAAGAGAGTGAGAGTAAATGAGATTGAGAGATAAAGAGAGAGAGAGAAATAAAGAAAGGTAGATGAAGAGAGATAGAGAGAGTTACTGGGAGAGAGAAGAAGAGAGAGAAAAAAGATAATTACAAATTATACCATTTTCAAACAATAAATTTATATAATAAATCAAAACTTAATGGAACAATGAAGATTTGGATGAAACACACACAGCTTTCCGCTTTCATTTCTCGTTTTTTGGTACATTTTAATGAGCCAGAGAGCAATGAGCTTTTATTTTTTTGGTTTCTCTCTCTCTCTCTCCATCTCTCTATAGATATCTCTATATCTTCATCTCTCTCTATCCCTCTCTCTCTAACTCCAAAAAAAAAAAGAAAAATTTTTATTTGTTTTTTATTTATAAAATGTAAAACAACCACTCTTTTGAAAGTCATTTGAGAATTAAAAGAAAGATTTAAGTTTACATGAACTTGATGTAAATAAGAAATTTGAATAATCATTAGAATGTTTTGAGAACTGAAAGAACATTGAACAAGCAAAGTATTTGACAGATTGTTTTAATATATATATATCTATCTATCTCTATCTGTATGTATGTATAAAAACTCAAAATGAAAAAAAAACTTTTATATAAGAAAAAAGAAAAAAAACGATTTTCTCACTCAAATCTCTTGTAATTCATGAATGGAATGAGAGTAAAGGAGTCGAGAAACCAGGAACTGCATTTCATACTGAGTCCGTTGGTGATTGACAAAGGTATTCTGAATCGTCCCCCCTCTTTTCAGATCATTATATTATAATTATATATAGTTAAAGACTAGCGACATTCAGATCAAAAGTTGTCTCTCTCTCTCTGCAAGATAACTTTCTATTTTAAAACAATACAATAAAAATATAAAATAGACATAACGATTTGAAAAGCGAAATAGCTTTATCTAGGCGAATAACCAAAATTTTTACAAATAAAATTTTATTATAACTAACTATACTGATTGTTGCCCATCTTTTACTCACTTACTTAGTCAGAGCTTCCTCTCCCTCTTTTTCTCCTCTCTCTCTCTCTCTATCTCTCTTTCATTCACTTTTACTTTTTCTCTCTGGAAGGTTTTTGGGCTACTAAAGCTTTCTTACTGTTTCAGTAGTTTATAAAAAGAAATCATTTTTTGCTTCAATGACCTAAGAATTATTCTTGTGAACTTCTGCTTTTCCTTTCACAAAGCTCTCTCACAGAATGCATCTTTCTCTCTCACTCTCTCGCTATCTCACGAACGACATACTGTCCCTGATCTCTTAGAATATCCAAAGAAACTTTGAAAATTTCATTTTTTTCCCGAATATCATTAGGAAATTCAGTTAAAAGGACAAAAAGCTATTTGATAAAAAAATTTGAGCGAAAGGAGTGAAGCAGAGAATTCTCACCAAAGTGCATTTTCATCGTTTTCATCCGTTTTTCTTCTTCTACTTTTTTTTTAATAAAAACTATTCTTAATTCAAATGAATATTAAGTAGAAGAAGGAGACACAGAGAGAGAGAAGAAGAAAAAAACATTTTTTCCTCTCTCTCTCTTGATATTCTAATATTTCTGCTGAAAACGACACATTTCCGTGCTGAAAGTAGTCGCTTTCCGCGCCGTTGATGATTTTTGTTGTCTTGTCCTCCCTAACTTCGAAGATGAAATGTTTTTTTTTGTGAAAAATGTCAATTTTTTGCCATTTTTGGAACAAAATATTTACCTCAACAGACAGCTGCACAAGTTTCGTTCACTTCTCGTTCATGTTGCTCATTGCTCTATCTCTTTCTCTATCTCTTTTGCCTTCCTTTCCGAGATGTTTATAGGTAGAAGCTTAAAAGGTAAGATGGAATCGTAAGGAAGTTGCATAATAATACAATAGAGTTCATTAGCTTTATTTAAGCTTCAGTTCTTTGTTTTTGTGACAAATTGCTGATTTGCTAACTTCATGTTCGAATGGAACAGAATAAATCGAATGAGCCTTATAGTCCCAGATGATAGCTACTGGGTGGCAGACTGTCAGCTTCGAATTTCATTAGTTGGTTGGCTCTACAAAGCAGACGTTGAGAAGCAAAGTTTTTTTTTTGATTTTCAAATTTCTTGTGCTCGGCACGTATCTATCTTATACGGAATTTGAGGCTTTCCGAATAAGGAAGTAGTTGTTTAACGAAGTTTTGGGAGTTTGTAATGAGAGAGAAATCTTTTTTTTTGGGGGCAAAAAATATTGGAAAAGTGAAATTAGATGGAAATTCATGATGTAAGCTTAATAAAGCTTATTGTTTATTAGAGAAGTAGAAAATAGCTGATGAAGAACCAATTGAATGCAACCGTTCTGGCATCGGAATTTGACACATTTCATTCATAAAAACAAAATAAACTTTATGAAATCGCGGAAACGTAGATGATTCTTTAACGACAAACAGTTCATAAAACTATTTTTTACTTCTTCTGTTTTTTTCGTTTCGTTATCAGAGTGAGGAAGAAACAGAGAGAGAGGGAGGGAGATAGGAGTGGAGGAAGACACGAAATACGACCGCTTTGAACATGAAGAAGAAGAAAAAAAAGATTTTCACGTAAACTTCACGTACTTTCTTCATTTGCATTTCTATGTCTCACTTAAGTTTGTCTTTCCTCACGCCACATGAGAAAAATAAAACTTTAATTTTTCAAATACGAAATTCTTCAAGAGGAGACAGAAAAAGAAAAACGGCAAAAGAAATAGAAGACGGAAATGAGGTGAAGAGACATATAGATCTCGGGATAACCTTATGGTGGGCGTTTGTAGAATATCCAAATACTAGTAAAAGGGATAAGTTGCAGACAAGAAGGAGAAAGAGAAAAAAGATAGAAAGAAAGAGGGAAAAACATTAAGAGAGGAAAAGAGAGGGAGAGAGAGAGAAAAACAAAGAGAGAGAGATTGAGAGAGGGAGCCAAGGGACTTGTTTCATTCCATCTAAATGGAACAAAGGACAGTCAGTTCAATTGCAATAATGAAAATGTAAAGTTGGATTATCTGAAATTACCAACATGCTTCGATTCATCAGGTAGCTTTTATGAAGTTTCTCTGAGAGCTTTTTTCTGCAATTTTGTCTTCCATTCATCTTAACCTCTTGTGTTCTCTTTGAAACAAGAATTTGAAAATACTAAAAAGAGAATTAATCATTTCCTCAAACCGCAAACTTGATAACATTTGAAAGATTTCCTCAGAAAGAAACATAGGACTTGAAAATACGTAAGCTCTTCATGATCAGAAGCGGAAGTATGAGAACCGACTTTTGTATTTCGTATTGTGTTGGCTCTTATGTCAACGAATGGATAGTGAGAAGAGCTGTTGAAATCTATA